TATCTGACAATTTCTTATTTTTGTAATGGGTAGCTCTATCACTTCTACGATTTCCAATCAACACCACCACCACCATGCTTACATGGTGAGGATCTATGGTGCTGAATGTCCCTGGTCACATTGTACAACTTTATTCCAGGCCTCTGAAAGCATCATAGGATTATCACTGATCTGGTGCAGCCAGGTCAATCGCTGAAGACTGTAGCTACCGCCAGCCTGTGGCCGGACAACGTCCCCTCCTGACCTCAAGTCTGATCTTCTGGGCTCAATTTGTGGGCACTTTATCTCCGATGGGGCTACATAACCAAAAAGTGCCTGCCACTGGTGACCAATGATTTCTATCCTCTCAAGGACAGTTCTCAATAATACCTCCCTATTACTGATAAAATCAAACCATCTTATGCCCTGTAATTGCCGTTACCAATGCATATAAAATGCCTTCTGATGAATTCTTTAAGCAATGTCCATGTTTCAGATCCATATACAGGACTGTCGCATCTTGCGCGCATTTAACATGCGCGATTTCAGCTTTACGTGGTCGGCAAAAACAAAAAAAGAGAAAAATAACCATTTTAATACTGTACCTGTAGTGTGGGAGATTCCGCCCGCCATTACACTCAATGTAATTTTGACTATACGCGATTTTCACTTTACGCGCTGACTGCGGAACGTAACCCCAGCGTACGATGCAACAGACCTGTAAGAGGATTGGAAGTACACAGGTATTCTTCCAATCCCCACCCCAAAATTCTGAATAAAAGACTTTCCATGTGTGCCTTATGTTGTACACTTTCCCATGTTCCTCTTAAGGCTGAAAACCCTACTCACATCATGAAATCTAGGACCTTGGCACACATTTCTTTCTTCATTAAAAAATGTCCCCCTTGTCTTTTAGTTTACTTGTATATGGAAAATGTTGTTATCTGGTTTTCATCAAAAGAGGAAGATGGAATCCATGAACATCTATCTGTTTCTGATGCATTCCAGCTACTAACTTCCCTGTATTCAGCTGTAAATATAAAACTCATCTCTTTGACTTATGGTAGGTTGTCTTCAATACATTATATACACACACAAAGCCCACCATGAACTAATAAAGCTATTTCTCCCCGCTGGCTGGAAAGGAAGGAAGAGACAGAGATTGTTGTTTCTATTTTTAAATACTCATGAGGCAATCAGACACTATGTTGATACAGGCCATATAAGTACTTAGATCAGGGGTGGGCAAACTACAGCCTCAGGGCCGCATCTGGCCTTCCAGACGTTTTAATCTGGTCCTCAAGCTCCCGCCAGGGAGCAGGGTCCAGGGCTTGCCCCGCTCCAGTGCTCCAGCCGGGGAGCGGAGTCGGGGGTTGGCCCCACTCCATGCGTGCCGTGGCTCCACGTGGCTCCCAGAAGCAGCAGCATGTCCCCACTCTGGCTCCTACGTGTAGGGGCAGCCAGGGGGCTCCGCAAGCTGCCACCGCCCCAAGCCCGGCCCCCGTAGCTCCCACTGGCCGGGAACTGTGGCCAATGGGAGCTGCGGGGGTGGCACCTGCAGATGGGGCAATGTGCAGAGCTGCCTGCCCACACCTCTGCGTAGGAGCTGGAAGGGGGACATCCTGCTGCTTCCAGGAGCTGCTTGAGGTAAGCGCTGCCCGGAGCCTGCTCCCCTCCCCCGAGCCCTGATCCCTTTCCCGCCCTCCAAACCCCTTGGTCCCAGCCTGGAGCCCCCGCCTGCACCCCCAGCCCCACCCCAGAACCCGCACCCCCAGCTGGAGTCGTCACCTCCCCCAACCCCAATCTGGAGCCCCCTCCTGCACCCTGAACTCCTCGTTTCTGGCATCATCCCAGAGCCCGCATCCCAAGATGGAGCCCTCGCCCCCTCCCACACCCAAACCCCTAATTTTGTGAGCATTCATACAATTTCCATACCCAGATGTGGCTCTCAGGCCAAAAAGTTTGCCCACCCCTGACTTAGATAGAATACACTCACATCACTCTGTCTTCTTTTGTACTTACCGTACCTGAGATTATCTTCCACTGTTGTATGCAGTAGCCATATCAGTCCCAGGAAAGCTTCTCTCTTTCACCAACAGAAGTAGGTCCAATAAAAGATATTACCTCAACCACCTTGTTTCTGCGATTGTTTAGCATACCTCACAATGTGCAGGATGTGAACTAGTGGTGCTATATTAATAAGAGATTTTTAAACAAAGAGTCTATAATATTTAGAAATGGGCAGAAAATGTATTGTTATATCCAGATCAGGTTCAGATTACCAATCAAAAACAATGGTTGGAGTTCAACAGTACCCAACTCTTCTGAGCTGTTTCAATAAGATTTCATCCAACAATGGTGGAAATCTTGTGAGTTTAACTGATCTAGGGTTCTCCTCCACATGAATGGTCAATATCACCGAGATCAACTGCTCTTATGAGTTTTCCACCATTTAGGACTATATATTGGAAGAATAGCTGTTCTTGTGTATCCCAACTAGGAAATAGATCTCTTCTGGTTTTGTTTTTGTTCTGAAACTAAAACTTTATAGGTAGGTTTGGATCTGTACACCCTGCAATTTGAAATGGGGCAGATTCAAGATCTCAGTTTTGGTCCATTTGTAATATAATTGCCAGGATAAGCCTGGGATGGCAGACTCAACATGGCAATGATATTATATGTACATTTCTCTTTTCTGTTTTTACAATGTATTAGATAAAAGGGAAAGCCAGGTAATATCTCTGTCACCATCTTATCCTAGGGTGACCTCCTAATAATAAATGAAATAAAGGATAAATATATTAAAATACCAAATCTGATTTCTATAGTATAATATGGATTTCTATACAAAATAGTTTGTGTACTACAAAGTCACACACGATTATTGCTGCAGCACAGGACAAAGTACATCATATAGTGACTTAGTACAGTATAAGGATATTAGGCACCAAATATAATATGTTCCTTAAACTAAAGGTCATATATAAATCCCTTTCGCCTACAAATCACAGGGTTACTCAGTTATAAAACCTTGGCAGCAAAGAATTAAAAGTAGAGCACTTACAAGTCAAAGTGGGACTATCCTCTAGGTAAAAGCTGTATCCTGCCAGTTTTAACCCCAACACCCAAATTTTCACTGCAAAAACTTGGAATGGCTAGATTTTGTACCATGATACTTTGAGATCTGTTTTCTTCTGGTGGACTAGGACATGCTGCATATTTATGTACTAAATTTAGATGCTAAAACTGGGAGGAGGGACAGTTATGCAGCCAAAATTAGCCATATCCAGCAGAATACAAATGCAAGCGGGGGAATGGTCCCGCTATTGTGGGGAACTTTCCTGGCTTCTGCACTACCCCGGTGAAGTGGGCTAGCGAAAGGATCTGAGTCCTCGCTCCCACTTCCTTTACCCAGAGGCCTCCCTGCCCTTGAGGACTCCCCTCCACTCTCCTGTGTGGCAGAGTCCTCATAACCCCAACAAGGCTGGGCCCAGGATTCCTGGGAGGCTCAACCCCCAACCCTGCTGTGGTCACCTAGGACAGGGGCTAGGGTATCCCCACTCCAGGGTACTCTCTCTGCACTGGGCACCTCCCTGACCCATTGATCATTTCATACAATTTAAAGCAAGTAGAAGTTGTTTAATTAACAATTAATTTTAAAAAAGAATAAGAAAAATGGGAAAGGTTAAAGGAAAACACATCACCCTGCTCTGTGGCAGGGAACATCACAAACAGTGTCTCTGGACATGAGGGCACTTCACAGTCTGTTCCTTGTAGGTCCCAGGTCTCCTTCTCAGGCGCTGGCTGTGCTGCAGGGATGCTGCGGGTTGGACACTTGCAATGGTGGTGGCCACACACCTCCTGGCTTTGGGTGGTGGGACCCTTCTTCCCAGCGTCAGCTCCCCGTTGGGTTAAGATTCCCCTCCCAGTCTGGCCTGCAAAGACCCTTGGCTGGGGGTGTCTTTCTGCGCTGGGCCCTTTGCCCAAGGTCCCCCCTTGGCTGGCCCCAGTTGCTCACCACACCTGGCTCTGTGGCTGCAGCTCTGCTCCCAGCACAGGATCTGCTCTTTCCCTGGGCTGTGTCTCTGGCTCTGTGGCTGCGCCTCTGGATCTGGCACGGTTCTGCTCCCCAGCTCAGCTTGGGCCCCTGCTTTCTCCTTAGCTTGGCCCCACTCCGTCTGACCCAGGCAGTGCCAGCTCACACGGCGGACTGGACCCCCCTGGCCTCCTGACTCCCTGATTAGGCTGTCCGCCCTGTCAATTAGGCTGACCTGGACCACTGGCCTCTCCCCATTGTTCCTGGGGACTGTCAGTCTCAGGGTCCTGATTTCCCATCGACCCTTCCCCTTTTAGTACTGGGAGCTAGCCAACCAAAACACCCCCACTGAGTGTTAGTAAGGGGGCAACAGTCCCCTTACACAAACACCACATTAAAGTTAAAAGTAAAGGGATGTGCTAAAATCCAGATTTTGGGGGGGGGGGGGGTAGACTAGTCAAAAATTTGGCAGGATCCAGGTATTTATAGTATTATTGTTCCAGGATATATCCGAATTTTTTTTAAGTGCAAGAACAGCAGCTACACTTGTTCTCAGGCTCTGGCGGATGAATGTGATTGTGACCACACACAGTAGCAGGTTCCCTGTTTTGCAGTGCCAGTATGCTCAGGGCTGGATTGGTGCCCAAGCAGCGACTAGTTGTTTCCTCCATAAAAGGGAAGGGGTTTTTTATAGAGGGGGCGGGAGGACAAAACCCGTCAGGAACCAGTTTTTACCTTTTCCCCTAAACATTGCATGCCTCCGAAGCTCTGCAGCTGGCAGCTCGGATAACACAGTAAAAGGCGCAGGGTTTGCACAGCCCTGTTCCCCTCCGCAAAGCACACACGCGCATCCACCACCCCGCAGCGTCCTCTCAGCAGTGCTCATTCAGGCGTGCGCGTGCGCACTTGACTCAACCCTCCTCCCCCCCGCCCCTGTTAATAAAGCAAGCACGTGACCCGTTCCACCTCCTTGTCCTTTGTTTGTTTGGCTCCGGAGCGCCTGCGGGGATAGGAGGAAGACTAGAGATAGACCCCCGCGCCGTTCTATGACGTCAGTGTGCGCCGGTCCGCTCCCCCCACCCCCTTTGGGAATTATGTAGAATTTTTTCCAGGAGCTCACGTTCTATCGGTGGAACGCTGGCGATCGATGTGTCTCGCGCCCCCACCATCCCCGGAGCGCTGCAGCCGCGGACCCCAGGCTGCGTTCCCAGGCGTCTGCACTAGGGGCTGGTTGGCCCTGCGGCTTCTCCTGGGATCTGATCAGCCCGGCTCCTGCGGCAGGTGATTGCCCAGGTTGCTCGCCCTGCTGGCTGCCCGGTTGCAGAAGCAGCAGGAGGTTTTGTAGTGCGTGGTTACGCAGCCTACTCGTCCGTCTGGGATCTTGGTTAGGGCAGTTCGGTGTGTTATAATTGGCTTCCTTTGGCTGCTGTGCATGGGCCTGCGTGAGTCCTGCCAGCCTTTGTTTTCTTGGTGGTGAGAGGAGGGGAGCATGGCAGCCTCTGGGTCGGAAAAAAGCAACAAGAAGAAAACAGAGAAGAAACTTGCAGCCCGAGAAGAAGCTAAACTGCTGGCGAGCTTTATGGGAGTCATGAATACCATGCGAAAACAGGTAGGGCAGGAGATACAGCTGAAGGAGCAGAACGTCTTGTGTTCTTTCGCTGTTCGTGGTGAAATCTGCCCTATAGGATCCAATATCTAGTAGCCAACATCATCACCACCCAGTCTTAGTAAACTGATCTATATCAACCTCAAGTTTCCCAGTAATCGTAGTTAGAACATGTCATCATTAGTCCTGTCCTTTGTTTTTGGATGCATGTGTGGGCTTCCACTGACTTCTCTGCATAGCTTTGAGTATGCACCGGAAACTGTAACCAAGTAAGCTACACGAGGACTGAATTATTGTTCCCATTTTACAGGCACCAAGCATGTAAGTAATTTTCCCACGGGCACACATCTGGTCAGATGTTGATCCCAGGAATCCTGCTATCCCACTTGTATTCACTAGACAATTCAACTTTGTTTCATCTTTAATAGATGTCTCCCTGTCTATAGGGTGGTTGCTTAAGACAACTTTCAGTGTTATTGTGTTAAACCAACATCTGCTTTTAAGTATTTTAATAGGGGTAATCCACCAATTCAGAGTTTGAGCCCAGCCAAAACTAGTTTATCAGCTAGGCTTCAGTATCCTTTATTAAATGAATATGTTCATATAGAATAATCTAGAGATCTGGTGGAGCTTCTAAAAATTGTTTAGGGATGGACAAAACCCCTTTCTATTTAATCCTTGCACATATTGGACTTTGAGAGGAAGATGTCACAAAACGAATTGTATGAAATACAAGCAATAAGTAGTCTCAGCACTCAGCATGCTTTGGGCATTGTAAAAATAATAAATAGCTGCTGACATACTTATGTACTGTGGCACAGTGAACATCCTCCTGTATCTATTGAAAGTTCAGTTATTGTTATGCAGTGTTTGTTGCTAATACGAAAACAGGAAGAGTTACTGTAGTGGGTCCACTTTCTTATCTGAGGACTTCTCTGCACTAAGCCAAAAAATCAAGTTTGAGTAGAGGGCTGAGTTATTTCAGGTTGAAACTGTATTAACACACAACCCTTTTTCAGAGACTGTTGGAATTGAGGTGGACATGCACAGTCAAGTCTTTATGCTTGGTGTAGGTGGAATGGGTGTTGGGTGTTTTTTAGTATTTATTCTCCCAATGTGGATCCCAAACTAAATATGCCTCCTGTCAACTGAATCAGTTGAGATTCTGTTAGAATTCTAGGTGACAACCCTGCAAAATGTTGTTTCTTGATCTACATGGCTGCTATATCTGACTGCTTACCTAAGAAGCCCATGCTCATGTTTATAGCCTGGTAGGTAGCTACTGCAGGGCTGGCCCACAACATTTTGGCACCTGAGCTCAAATGACGCCCCCATGCCCCCTTGCTTGGGCCAAAACTTTGAAAGGTCTCTCATCTGCCTTCTTCCTGTTCTACTCCTCTATTGGGGCAGGTAGTAGAGCAGTACCATGAAAGGAGAACTAACAACTTAAAATGCCTTGTTCAAAAATTTTAAGTAACACTTAACTTTCAAACGCCTGAACAGCAAATGTAACTTTTCTTGTCTGCATAGTAAACACTGGCATTTTTATCTGTTCGAATAATTGAAGTGGTGCTTTCCGTTCCTTCTTGGTTGCAAAGATTTGAACTGCTTCCTGAAGGTCCACAGTCTGGGCCTGCTCATGCTCTATTGAGATGGTTGCAAGGCCGACCAGCCTCTCCTGTGTCATTGTGGAGCGTAGATGTGTTTTTATTAACTTCAGCTTGGAGAAGCTGCGTTCTCCACTGGCAACTGTTACAGGAAGTATTAGAAGTATGCGCAGAGCAACAAAAGCATTTGGAAAGAGAGTGGTCATCTTATTTGTGCGCATATATTCCAGAACAGCCTTTGGAGTTGATCCTGCTGAAATGTACACCTCTACCCCAATATAACGCGACCTGATATAACACGAATTCGGATATAACGCGGTAAAGCAGTGCTCCGAGGAGCAGGGCTGCGCACTCCGGCGGATCAAAGCAAGTTCGATATAACGTGGTTTCACCTATAACGCGGTAAGATGTTTTGGCTCCTGAGAACAGCGTTATATCGGGGTAGAAGTGTATCTTGAAAGGGCTTTCAGTTCATCACCTAAATCACTCGCATCAATATTGCGCATGTCATCATGTGTCAACACTGTCTCTAGTGCCCTGCATTGCTGGTGTAGGTCTTCTTCAGGTATAGTGAGGAGTTTTGGAATATCATACAACATCCCAAATATATTGCTGTGTTCCTTGAGCTGCATGAAACATTCTTCAACTGACTGTATTGCACAATCTAGCACCTGGTTAAAGAATTCAATTTTGAATTGTTGTTTGGGGTCACTTATGGGATTATCCCGTGCCTCGTAATCAAAATGTCTTCTTCTTTGGTGACTCTTGTATTCTTGAATGGGTGGGAAAACAGCTTCAGTGTGAAGTTCCTCTGCCAACTTCTGTGCGCTCTTCAGAACGTTTTGAAATCCCTCATCTGACCGGTAAGTATGATTTTGCTTTGTCCAATTGTTCCATTGCTCTAGATATATCAAGGTCAACACCTTGGAGTCTCTTGCTTACAACATTTATTTCAAACACTATGTCATGCCACAACACTAAGCCACACAGAAATTTGAAGTTATGTATGTTTCTGGTGATTCCATTTCCCCCTGCCACTGTTCTCCGACGAACAGTTCCTGTCATAGCATTAACCTTCATAATGGCAACTATTGCCTCATCTATCTTCCCAATTTGGTGTTTGATAGGCTTTATCACCTCCACTCGACTTTCCCATCGAGTGGCACTCAGTGGTTTCAGTGTCAGAGAGGATGTTCCCAGATGTTGTTTCAAAATTTGCCATTGATGAATTGATGCAGAGAAAAATAGATCGATGCTTTGAATTACATTAAAAAATTCAGCAGCCTCACTAGAAGCTAATACTGCATCACTGACCACCAAGTTCAATGAATGAGAACTGCATGGGACAAAAAAAGCTCGAGGGTTTAACTCTCGGATCCGTGTCTGCACTTCTCTGTTCTTTCCTCTCATGTAGCTACCATTATTGTAGCCCTGACCTCTCATGTCAGCTATCGCAATTCCCGTATCTTCCAGCTTTTTAAGAAGCACATTTGTCATACCAGCTCCTGTAGTATCATCTATATCAATAAATTCTATAAAATGCTCTCTGACAGTCACCTTTGCAGGGACATTTTCACTAGGTTCTGTTGTTGTTACAAAACGCACCATTAGAGTCATTTGTTCCGTATGGCTGATGTCAGGTGTGCAGTCCAGAATAACAGAGTAATATCTTGCTGATTTCAGATCTGCCATAATCTTCTGTTTGACTTTTGTTGCCAGTAACTGTATGATCTCATTTTGAATTGTTTTTCCAAGGTAGTGGTGTGTGTACATTTCTTGGGTGGTGACTCTTCTTAGATGCTCCTGGAGTACAGCATCAAACTCAGCCATCAGCTCCACAGTCTTAAGGAAGTTTCCATTGTTTGGCACATACAGCTGATCTGAAGTGCCATGCAGTGCTAAGTTTTGGGTAGCAAGCAGTCTCACAATGGCAATGAGCCTTTTCAGAACATTTTGCCAGTAAAGAGACTCTGATGCAGTCTTCTCTTGATGCTGATCATCTATGGTGGCCTTTAACCTTAGTCTCATCTCAAGCTCTTTCCACCTATGGAATGCTTTCTGGTGATTTGCTGCCTTCTCATGGCATGCCAGATTTCTAGCCAGATTTTTCCAGTCCTTTGTTCCTGTAGAACCCAACGTGGATGGAACATTAGACTGGAAGAGTTTGCAACAAAAACAGTATGCATCATTCTGGGTTTTTGAGTACATAAGCCATGGCCTCTCCACTTTGTCACCATTGGGGATTTCATGCCAGTAATGTATTGGATGGAAACTTCTATTTTTGTTGTCTTTGGGGAACATGAAGTTTTTCACTTGCTGTGGCCCATGCAGTACAAGAAAGTCCCTCAGGCTACTGCTCAAGTGGGTCCACAGTCTTGGATCATAATATAATAATATATACCTATCTCATAGAACTGGAAGGGACCCTGAAAGGTCATTGAGTCCAGCCCCCTGCCTTCACTAGCAGGACCAAATACTGATTTTGCTCCAGGTCCCTATGTGTCACCCTCAAGGATTGAACTTACAACCCTGGGTTTAGCAGGCCAATGCTCAAACCACTGAGCTATCCCTCACCCCCTCATCTAGACTTAAGGAACTAAACTCAGCAGCAGCTGTTTCTTGCGCCTCCACCACACTCTTCTCTGATCTACGCTTTTCTTCAGGAATGTGCATGGTTACATCCATTTGAGATGGAGATATGGATGCTGCAGTAGCTGCCAGGTCACCTGCACTCTGACTAACTGGAAGATCAGACATCTCCTCACCACTCACATCCTCACTGGGGCTGGAAGGCTCACCGTGAACATTTGAGTCTATGTATCTCAGGAGAGCTCCTTCCTGCTTAGATAAAAAAGCTTCCTTTCCTTTCTTTCTTTTTCTGAATGCTGTCCCAGAGGGGCGTTTTCTTCTTTCACTTATGACTGCTGTTCTGTGCCAGCTATAGTGGCTCTCAACACTCAATTGAAGGGGACAAATAAGCAGGCTGGTAGCAGAGCCTGAGTGAGGGAAGATATCAGCGTCTTAAGGGCCTAACTGGCTCCTACTACTTCAGTTGACTGCCTGTTCTCCTCAAGTGGGTTCAGGGAACCAGCAGGAAACAGGAAGCTCCCTGAGAAGCTGGTGTTAATCAGTCCAGGCTCCTGGGGGTGCTAGAGAGGTACATAAGAGGCTCCTCCTCCTCTCTTTCCCTGCAGCTCCTGCTGCTTTCTTTTATTCCTTCTCATCTTTTCTCCTGCCTTCCTATCCTCAACCTCAAAGGCACTTGAATCCTAGAATTAAGTTTGCTTTTGTGGAGTTGGTTGGTTGTTTTAAACAGAGTTGGCAGTTTTTTAAAGAGACATTACTAAGGGCACACAAGCAAACTATCCCACTGCATAGGAAAGACAGGAAGTATGGTAAGGCACCATGCTAGCTTAACCAGATCAATGACCTGTAACTCAAAAGAGAGTCATACAAGAAGTAGAAACTAGATCAAATTACAAAGGATGAATATAAAACACCACCAAAAGCATGTAGGGACAAAACTAGAATGACCACGGCACAAAACAAGGTTAAACTAGGTAGGGATATAAAGTGTAACAAGAAAGCATTTTACAAATACATGAGAAGCAAGAGGAAGACCAGGGTCAAGGTAGGTCCATTACTTAGTGAGGAGAGAAAGACAATTACAGAAATTCATTCTGTAGAATGCCATTCACTCACAACACCAATTTGAGGCCACTGAATGGTGCTATCCCTTGTTTGTAAGCAATTTGAGGCAGGGAACATCTTCTCAATACATGTACATACAGCGCCTAGCACAATGAGGTCCCAAATCTTGATTGAGGCTTCTAGGTGCTGCCACAACACAAAAAAATAATAATGTGTTGGCATATGGGTGCATGGTGCTTTATTATAGCAGAGCACCAGCACCACTGTAGTTAAGATTGAACATCACTTTCAGGTGTAAGGCTGACTCATCAAAGTGTGTTAAAATCTGCATGCTTACTCAGATTATCTTGAGATTTTCAGTGACACACAAGGGTGCTGGGTAATGTTAGTAGACCAAGTTAGAGGTCATCTGAGAAAAGTGTTCCTTAGATGTAGCACCTCCCCCCCTCCCACCACCAAAAAAAAAAATACAACATTTTACAAAATCTAAGCTTCTGGGTTTTGCCCATGCTCAGACTGTGGCTCTAGTCCTCCCCTCAGACTGATCTCAGGCACTTGGGATTTAGTTCACTAGTGCAAGACACTCAATGCCCCTTTGGAGGTTTATGCTGTAGAACAGTGGTTTCTAAATTGGTGTCCCTGAATCCCTGAGGGTCCACCGTGGTTTATGCAGGGGTCTGTCCCTTGAACCAGGGCTGGAACATGTTGGAGGACACCATTTTGTTCTCAAAATAGTATCTTTGGGGTGTGGGAGGGAAGGGAGTTTGAGAAACACTGCTGTAGAAGGTATTCAGGGTTAAGTTAGGAAAGTAGGGGGAGCCAAAGAAAATGAAATGCACGTGTGCAGCAAGACTAAGGCCTTGGCTACACTTGCGAGTTACAGCGCTGTAAAGCCACCCACAGCGCTGTAACTCACTGACCGGCTACACTGGCAAGGCACGTACAGCGCTGTATCTCCCTGGGTACACCGCTGCAGTTACTCCACCTCCCCGAGAAGCATAAGAGATACAGCGGAGTGGCTACAACTCTCCCCTGTGAGTGTGTACCAGGAATCAACCTGCAGCGCTGTACTGATCACCTTGTCAAGTGGCCAGTCCTCTCCATTGTTGTGACCGGTTGCAGGAATGCGGAAGTGCCTGTTTCAAAGCTGTACCACAGAGAAAAAGCAAACAGTTTGCTGTTTGCTTTGAGTGAGTGAGTGAATGAGCAGGGGGCCGGGAGTTCGGAATTTGCAAAATAGAGTGCTGACACACTCCAAAAAGCACTCTCTCTCCCCCTACACTCCCTGTCACACTCCACCCCACCCCCACCCCCCGTTTTGAAAAGCACGTTGCAGCCACATGAATGCTGGATAGCTGCCCATAATGCACCGCTCCCAACACAGCTGCAAATGTTGCAAGTGTGGCCACGCCACTGCGCTGGCAGCTGTCAGTGTGGACAGACTGCAGTGCTTTCCCTACTCAGCTGTACGAAGACAGGTTTACCTCACAGCGCTGTACAGCTGCAAGTGTAGCCAAGCCCTAAGGGTTAGTCTACACTGGCACCACTAAAGCACGGCAGCACTTCCAACGTGGCTTGTGTGGTCGCAGCACAGCGCTGGGAGAGAGCTCTCCCAGCATTCTAAAAAACCCACCTGCACGAGGGGCATAGCGAGAAAGTTCCAGCACTGTAAATTGCCAGTGTAGACAAGCCCTAGGGCTCTGTTGAAATGAGGATTTGCACTGTATTTTCACAATAATTTGATGGCTCAAGGGAAATGCTGTGGCCATTGAACCTGAGCTGCACCCATGCACTGTAAGTCCAAACCCTATCCTTGGCAGAAATCTGTAGGCATGTTGCCACTGTCTGCCTCTCTCAAGGGGGCTTATGTATTTTTGGGAAATAAGCCCTGAGTAGTACAGTTAATTTAAAAGGGGTTCTAACTTTTCTGGGAAGTTTCTCTTGCTGCCCTTCCACATGTGAGCTGGCAACTGGGGGACCCTATCTCTCTGGGGGTCTAAGCCCTCTAGGTGGGGAGTTGAAAACAGGCATGTTTGGAGCATGCACCAGGCACAAAGTGCTGAGATTGTGGGTGAGAATGGACTTGCTCCTTTCATAGGACAGGCTCATGAGCTCTGACACTGGGGAGAGGGAGTGAGAATACCTACTGTGATGAATGGAGCAATTCACGCCTCTCAAAGCTGTTGTTTCAGGCAGTATTCATCTCCATGATGTGCTACCCTTCTGCTGAGAACCTCTCATTGAACAAATGGACCACTTCGCTTTTTATTTCCACTCCAATTTTTACTAATTTAGATCATTTTATTTCTGTATTTCCATTGCTTCAGCTAATGGTGGCAGGGCAATGTTCTTAATGCTATATTCAGTACACATAGTAGAACAGCTCAAAATTTATCAGATGTATGGTCTGTAAAATAAACTCTTAGGCATGCAATTTTAAGTTAGTCAAGTGAGTAACCCAAAGGATTCCATGGAGCTACTCACATGAGTGAAGCTACCTGCTTAAGAATTTGAAAGATTAGAACCTTGAGGTGTAACTATTGTCTGATGCTCTAGAACATAGGCGCCGACTTCCCCTCTTTCCCGCAGGTGCTCGCCCCCGCCCCAACTCCGCCCCCTCCCTGCCCCTATTCCAACTCCTTCCCCAAATCCCCGCCCCGGCCTCGCCTCTTCCCCAGAGCGCATCACATTCCCGCTCCTCCTCCTCCTCCTCCCTCCTGGAGCGTGCTAACGGCGGGCTGGGAGCTAGTCGGAGGAGCGGGGACGCGGCGCGCTCAGGGGAGGAGGAGGAAGTTGGGCGGGGGGAGCTTGGCTGCCAGTGGGTGCAGAGCACCCACTAATTTTTCCCCATGGGTGTTCTAGCCCCGGAGCACCCACGGAGTCGGTGCCTATGCTCTAGAACCATTGGGTGGGAATGAATGAGTGTGGAAATATTTCTCATCCCATAAAACTACCAATTTTAGTTAAAAAGAGACAGTCCGGATTGGGAGGCTCCAAATATGACATCTTAAATTGCTCTAACAAATGTGTGTGCAATAGAGGAAAGAAGGCTTTGTACTGAAGCTGAAATCAGTTTCCTTCTCCTAGAGGGTTGTATTTAGTTTTGCTTGTGTTCACACACTTCTGCCATCTCTGGGGGGGAGGTGAAGGAAAGCATTTTAAGAGGAAAAAATTAACTACCATCTTTGAGTGAAAAATCTGACTAAGAAATAAAACTTGTTTGTTTAGAAGTCCCACCTTCTCTAGGTACATTTCAAATGGCGGCATGCTTATTTTTTATAACAAAGCAGGGAGGGGTAGTTGACAACAGGTCATGTTTCCAAAGTGTTGTGCAAAAGTGTTGGCAGCTTTTAATACCGTCACTAAAAATCTTGGCTTTGGTCCCTGCTTGGACCCTACCATCTGAATTAAATGCAGAATATTACAGTTGTGCTTGTCATAAGTCAGACAGCATTTCTGTTTAAGCCAAATGTGTTTAGGAATTTCTAATTCATCTGTAAAAGGACTTGCTCTGAAGCTTTACCTACAAGGTCTTGGGTTTGGAGCAATTTTTTTTAAGACCAAATTTGGTCTTTATTGCTTAAGTATTTTAAGCTACAGGTGTGCAAAGAGACTTTTTCTGGTGTACACTTGTTACTCAAACAAATGTTTGTTTAACATATGCATTATTTTTATGAATCTGTTGTTGTAGCTGTAGGTGCTTCTGATCTGTGTTATTTCCTGAGTGAACCAAAAACTACTAAAAGAGCATTTAGGGATCTGACTGAAACTCAGATAATCGGATATTTAAACTATCATTCTGTTTTCCCTATCTAGTTCTGACTATGCACACTTCCTTCCCACTCTATTAATGGGTTGTTTTGGTTTAACTTTTTTGCAATAAGGGAACTTCATGTACCTCCGAATGAAGTTCTAATGCTAGACAGCAATATTAGTGAATTCAATAAGAACCTGATGCTATATGTCCTCGGGTCCCATTGAAATCTGACACAAGTCAGTGTTCATGTTCTTAAAGTCAGTCTTAAAGGAATGCCAACTTTAATTCTATTCATTTATATATATTCCACCCCCACACACTATTCTTGCTCCAACAATTTTTCTAGTTTTACAGGTGCTTTCTCTTCCCGTCACTGTGTGAAAGATCACACAAATGGGAAAAACTGTCTGACTAGATATTCAGTGCTGTCAAAATATACCAGGTAACCAAACTGAGTAAACAGAAAATTCTCAGAACAGTGATCTTACATGTTACTTAGACAATGACAGGTAAAAAATAATTTCTTTGTGGAAACTTTTAAACTGACAACTGTCCCTTTAACTTGCATATTTTTGAGTTGATGCTTGGGTGATCTATTTGTCTCCAATATAAAGGTGCATTATTGTCTTGCTAAACAGGGTAAACCAAGATTGATATGTAAGCCTTAACTTTGATCATCCCTTCACCTTTGTTTGGCGTATCTAAACTACTAATTGTTCTTATGTTTTTTACTTTACCATTATGTGATGAGCCTGCTAGCTGGAGAGCAGAGAAAGCAATGGATTTCTGAAAACCTCTTTTAAGATAATATTCTTGTGTGTATTTCTCACAAAGTTGATCTTTACTTTTTTATTAGAAAACTCTCTGTGATGTCATTCTCATGGTACAGGAAAGAAAGATCCCAGCTCATCGTGTTGTGCTTGCTTCAGCCAGTCACTTTTTTAACTTGATGTTTACTAGTAAGTCTTCTCAAAATTGGCTTATTTTAATGTTTTTAATATTTAAAATAAAAAGGTTAACAACTTTTTGCCAGGGGTTTTTGAAGAAGATAATAGAGACTGGCTCTTAAACAATTGGAGGGAAAGCTCTTGTACTTTCCTCTCTCCTTAATTTCTCTCCTTCCCTCATGCAGCGCTGCTTTTTACCCTTTTTATCTTCTCTTGTTAAAGTCAGTGGGGCTACTCATGTGATTAAGTATCTTCCTGTGGAACTCCTTGCCAGAGGATGTTGTGAAGGCCAAAACTATAACAGGGTTCAAAAAAGAGCTAGGTAAGTTCATGGAGGATAGTGGCCAATGGCCGGTGCCCCAGAGGGAATGAACAGAACAGGTAATCATCAAGTGATCCATTCCCTGTCTTCTATTCCCAGCTTCTGGCAAACAGAGGCTAGGGACACCATCCCTGCCCATCCTGCCTAATAGCCATTGATGGACCTATCCTCCATGAATTTATCTAGTTCTTTTTTGAACCCTGTTATAGTCTTGTTCTTCACAACATCCTCTGGCAAAGAGTTTCACAGGTTGACTGTGCGTTGTGTGAAGAAATACTTCCTTTTGTTTGTTTTAAACCTGCTACCTTTTAATTTCATTTGGTCATTCCTAGTTCTTGTGTTATGAGAAGGAGTAAATAAGACTTCCTTATTTACTTTCACAACACAGACATGATTTTATAGACCTCTATCATATTCCCCCCCGCCCCCCTCCCGGTTGTCTCTTTTCTGAGCTGAAAAGTTCCAGTCTTATTCATCTCTCCTCATACGGAAGCCGTTCCATACCCCAATCATTTTTGTAAAATTTCAGAGCCTGCAAGTCCACTCAGTCCTACTTCTTGTTCAGCCAATCACTCAGACAAACTAGTTTGTTTACATTTGCAGGAGATAATGCTGCCCGCTTCTTGTTTACAATGTCACCTGAAAGTGAGGACAAGCATTCTCATGGCATTGTTGTAGCTGGTGTCGCAAGATATTTACGAGCCAAATGCGCTGAAGATTTGTATGTCCCTTCATGCTTCAACCACCATTCCAGGGGACATGCGTCCATGCTGATGACAGCTTCTGCTCGATAACAATCCAAAGCATTGTGGACCGATGCATGTTCGTTTTCATCATCTGAGTCAGATGCCACCAGCAGAAGGTTGATTTTCTTTTTTGGTGGTTCGGATTCTGTAGTTTCCGCATTGCAGCATTGCTCTTTTCAGACTTCTGAAAGCATGCTCCACACCTCATCCCTCTCAGATTTTGGAAGGCACTTCAGATTCTTAAACCTTGGGTAAAGGGCTGTAGCTATCTTTAGAAACCTCACATTGGTTCCTTCTTTGTGTTTGTGAAATCTGCAGTGAAAGTGTTCTTAAAATGAACAACATGTGCTGGGTCATAATCTGAGACTGCTATAACATGAACTATATGGCAGAATGTGGGTAAACAGAGCAGGGGACATACAATTCTCCCCCAAGAAGTTCAGTCACAAATTTAATTAACACATTTTTTTTAACGAGCGTCATCAGCATGGAAGTATGTTCTCTGGAATGGTGGTCAAAGCATGAAGGGGCATATGAATCTTTAGCGCATTTGGCTTGTAAATATCTTGCAATGCCGGCTACAAAAGTGCCATGCAAATGCCTGTTCTCACTTTCAGGTGACATTGTAAATAAGAAGAGGGCAGCATTATCTCCTGTAAATGTAAACAAGCTTGTTTATTTTAGGGATTGGCTGAACAAGAAGTAGGTCTGAGTGGACTTGTAGGCTCTGGAGTTTTACATTGTTTTGTTTTTGAGTGCAGTCATGTAACAACAAAGAAATCTACATTTGTAATTTGCACTTTCACGACAAAGTGATTGCACTACAGTACTTGTATGAGGTGAATTGAAAAATACTATTTATTTTAGAATTTGTACACTGCAAATATTTGTAATAAAAATAATACACCCTTTGATTTCAGTTACAACACAGAATACAATATATATATGAAAATGTAGAATAACATCCAAAATATTTAATAAATTTCAATTGGTAGTCTATTGTTTACCAGTGTAATTAAAACTGCGATTAATTACGATTAATTTATTTTGAGTTAATCGTGTGACTTAACTGCGATTAATCGACAGCCCTAGTTCTTATGTTCGTAAATGTGAGTAGAACTTACAAAAGTGAAGTTATTATTGGAATATTAATAATAAACTTTTATATTATGACAAAGTATAAATTAATTTTGTTTCTATTTAAATAGTTCCTATGTGTGAATATTTAGGTTCTGGGAATGCTGGTTTTATTTTGTTTTTGTTTTAAGGTTTTCCCCTTGGCATAGTTGCTTTACTGCTGATTTTTGTGACTGGTGGAAAAATAACTGCTCAGAGAATGATAGACTGATGTAGTTCTATTGTTACTTTTCATTGCAGCAAATATGCTTGAATCAAAGTCCTTTGAAGTGGAGCTAAAAGATGCAGAGCCTGACATTATTGAACAGCTTGTGGAGTTTGCTTATACTGCAAGGTAGCTTGTTGTTTAAAAATTTGTCATTTTTGCCAGAAAGTTTAAAGCTTAGTATTCTATTTATAAATGATAAAATCTCAAAGAAAAAAAAAAAAGCGTGTGTAGTTCAGCGACTTGTTACTATTTATAGCTCCTTATTTAAGTCTTCCTTAAAATTTGTTAACATTGGTAAAGTTTTTTCTCTGTACCATAGTCATTCAAATACTTATTCCAACTAAAATATTAATAATGTATGCCTTGATCCTGAAAACACTTAAACTTGTATCTTAAATGGGGCTACGTGTGTGTACATGTACAGTAAGAGCTAGGAGTATGATTTCCTCTGCTCGTGTAAACATATTTACGCTAGCTCTCATCTGAGCTGTGTCGAGTACAAGCTGAGTCGAGCTAGAGAAGTACGTGTACACGAGCATGGAATGACACCCCTAGTTCCATGTGTAGACATAGCTTAAGTGTGTATAGTTGAACTCTAATGTGCTCGTGTGATGAGGGCCATAGTGATGTAACTTAATAAAACAGGGTTTCTGTTGTTCCAGGTTAGGAACTTTTTAAAAAAAAATTGAATATATAATTGGCAAGTTTTTGCTTTTGTTTCTAAATAAACATTCCCAAGTGCTTAAATGCTGTTTGCATTGCTACATGGAGTCTCTAAACATGGGTCTGACAGCACCTAAAACTGATAGATGCAAATATCAGTGAAAGAGATACCAAAGGCTCGGATCCTGCAAGCTGCTGTCTGTGGGCAGGCACTTGCATATATATGCCCCTGTTAACATCAGTGGAGCTCTACATGGGCGCCGGTCACCAGAGTCTGCATATGCAGAATAGCTTGCAGGACTGGGGCAAATGTTTCTAGGAAGATTAGATGGGTAGTTCTGTAAACTTCATAACAATATTTCTTTTCTCTTCTGCTTTTAAATAGTACTTCAGTCACCTGGAATGTTTATATTGAGCTTATTTGGGCTAAAAGGACTGTGGGGTGACACTTGATGAAGAGATGGTCCGTTCCTTCAATCTGCTACCACTTGTATAAGGGCAAATTGTACAAATGAGGGTTGCAAGATCAGGCCCCTACAAATGTCCAGAGGTTAAGAATCATCCTTTAGAATTAAGGACCAGTGGTTCCAACCTGTCTTTATTTGCTTATTGTTATGCTTACATACATTATTAGGGGAGGGCAGGAAAGGACCCAAAGAAAGAATACATCTCACCCTTAAATATAAGGTAAAGCTGGCTGGGAAAGAGTAGGGAAATAATTTTACAGATGTTTTTGTGTAACTTTGTTTAAATGTTTCAAACACCAGTAGCTTGGTAGTTTGTGGTGCTCATTTTGTACTAAATGTGTTTTGCAGAATTTCCGTTAATAGCAATAATGTCCAGTCTTTACTAGATGCAGCAAACCAATATCAAATAGAACCTGTGAAAAAAATGTGTGTGGATTTTTTGAAAGAGCAAGTGGATGCTTCAAACTGTCTTGGTAAGTGATTACTTTAACACAGATGCATCATTTTAAAGGTATTCTTTGAAAAATGCCAATGAATGTTTGGAGCTGGGTGTTTTTCTTTTTAAAAGACAACAGAATTTGCACAAATCAGGTATATATCATTCAATATGTCATAAACTTTTGAGACTTTACTTGGAAACTTATGAACTGCATAATATTACTAAAAACTTATCCCACCTAGATCAACTCAAGTTTCAGAGCAGCTTCTACAAACAATATTTCTTATAAGAGGTTCCGTGGATTTAAGTATAGGATCCTGTTTAGCAGAAATGAAGATTATAGTGTCATGTTCTTGACACTTTTTAAGGAACTGGTGTTGTTTTCATTATAAACTGAGGTCCCAATTCGACAACTAGCTTTGCCTGTGAAGAGACCCATTAACCTGATCCAATTATGGGCTTGCACAGGATTAGGATCCAAAAGTGGAATAGCATTATATTGTGATAGAAGTACACCTCTACCACGATATAACGCTGTCCTCGGGAGCCAAAATTTTTTACTGCGTTATAGGTGAAACCGCGTTATATCGATCTTGCTTTGATCCGCCGGAGCGTGCAGCCCTGCCCCCCCGGAGCACTGCTTATTCGGGTTATATCGAGTCGCGTTATATCGGGGTAGAGGTGTTATTTCTTTCCCTCCTTTCCGCTGAGATAGATCCATAAATTGGTGTTTGCCTCCAGTTTCAGAAGAATAGAAGCATTTAGTTCTTTCAGCTTGACTTGCAGATGAGTTATGGGTGCTATGGGTAAAACTGTGTGCTATGTAAGTAATAAAAATACCATCATTTCAGAGATACTTATTCCATTGGCGTGTATGAAAACTTCTTGCAATACAAACTTTGGGAAAAGTCCAACACCTTTTTATATTTTCCACCTCCCTGTATAGGTATAAGTGTATTAGCAGAATGCCTAGACTGTCCAGAACTGAAGGCCACTGCAGATGACTTTATCCATCAACATTTCACTGAAGTTTACAAGACAGATGAGTTTCTACAGCTTGATGTTAAACGTGTGACACATCTCCTGAACCAGGACACACTAACTGTAAGGGCAGAAGATCAGGTAAGAGTCCAGTTTTCTTAGTAAAATGTGTCTTCTGCCAGCTAAATACATCAATTGAAAGGTTTAAACACTGACTTACAATGTATTACATTTACTATTTCCATAGTGCTTCATAGATCATGGAATAATTTATGAACCCTGACCCAGAAATCTTTCAGTCCTATTCAGACAAAAACAAATACAGGGCAGCATTTCAGGTGTAGGAAGCTGTGTAGTTGTGAGGATGGCTTCAAGGAAATAAGGAGGGGATTATGGAAAGAGTTCTGTCTATTTAGGTCCATATATGACCTCCATTGCCATCATTAAAGTTAAGATTTTTGTCCCAGGTATTTTTAATAAAAGTCACAGACAGGTCGCAGACAATAACAAAAATTCACGGAAGTCCACAATCTGTCTGTGACTTCTACTAAAAATACCTGGAGAAGACTAACACTGGGCGCCCCTCCAGGGGCTGACTGCTGGCTGCTGCGGTGGGCTGAAGCTGAAGAAGTTATGGAGATCCGCTGAAGTCATAGAATCCGTGACCTCCGTGACAGAACTGTATCCTTAGCCATAGTACATGAGCTGAGTTGGAAGGGGAGTCTATATAACTGGAATGGACAGAGCACTCAAGAAACCTGGAAATGGAGAAAGAAATGGGATTGACTAGATAGAAGATCCAAGACAATGCTTGTAGGCAGCTAAAAGGAGCCAGAAGACCATTCAGTGAAAGGAATTACTGCCGTTGTTGATAGCCCTAAAAGTTGCCTTCACTCCATCCCATTTGGAATGTAAGACTGCAGATATTGCTTCTGCATGTTGTTTTCTAGCCAGTCTTTGCAGCTACAGGAAAACTGGAAAAATCGGGTTAAGAGGAAACCATGAGCAACTTCCTGTCACAGTAGCAAACAAAAAGCAGTGTGTGTGCGTGTGTGTGTGTGCGCGCTAAGATAAAATTGGCATCTTGCTGACTTTAAGGTTTAGTAAGTTATACAGGCTCTAAGATTAGTTCAGGTTACTTAATATAGCTGCTGCAATAAAGCATTTACATAAAACTATGTGAATTTGCTTGGGCAAAGACTAAATAACGAAGCTTCAGTTTATATCAAACTCTGTGTGTGGTCTTTTTTGTTTTTTTAAATGTTGGGTGGTAAGAACATGAGAATTGACTGCTACAAGCTGTGGAAATGAGTGAAACTTCAGCGTTCTAGCTGTGGGCATGGAAACACTGAGACCACAGAGTAACACCCTAGAAGCTAGAAATGCACGGTCCAAAAGCGTTGGAGTACTTTTTGGGGGGGTTGGGTTTTTGGTTTTTTTGTTTGTTTGTTTGCAGGCTTAGCTAACTAATAGAATAGAGTTAAAGCCCTAAGCTGAGGGGGTGAGCTCCAGTTCAGCTAGGTTGTAAAAGATTTTGTGTAGGAAGAACTTAGCCTGCATAAAAAGCCTCTAGGAAAGTGGATATGAGAAGATTGAAGTTGCATAAATTGTTATGTGTTCTCAAAGGGAACTTACTCCCAAAATGTCTGCTGCCAGCCAAGCACTCCTGCAGGAAGGGTGATTGTTGTGTGTACAATTTATTTATTTATTTATAATGGAGATATCCTATCTCCTAGAACTGGAAGGGACCTTGAAAGGTCATTGAGTCCAGCCCCCTGCCTTCACTAGCAGGACCAAGCAATGATTTTTGCCCCGGATCCCTAAGTGGCCCCCTCTAGGATTGAACTCACAACCCTGGGTTTAGCAGGCCAATGCTCAAACCACTGAGCTATCGCTGTCCCCCATCATCTGGACACCCCGGTAGCTTGTGTACTACTCCAGAGTGCATTTAGCTTAAGCTAAGGAAAGTTGGTTTAGTTATAAACTACCTTTCATATTTTTCCTGTATATGTTTCCATCAGTAAGTGTATATCATGTTTTCTGTTGCAATTATACATCTGTTGGGCTTACTTAGCCTTTAGGGTTAGTAATAAACCTATCTTTTTTTCATTCACCCTTATTTTCTGATTTATAATTCATAGGTAAAGGGGATTATAACTGAAATGTTTTAGTCTGGTCAAGAGGACAGTCCTTTGACCTTAGTAATTCAGAATGTGGCTAAGGGGTTTGGTGGCAGAATACCCATCCAGTTTGAACTCTTAATTACTTTTTATGATCAGTTTTCAGCTCAAATGTGTTGTGACAGCATGAACAGTAATAACTATTATTTAAAGTAGAAACTGTCCTGTGTAAACACACTAGATAAAGTAAAGAAACACTTTGCATTCTTGAACAAACAGCTGCTGCATTTACATACAATTATTTTAGCATGCAAACCCTGGATGCTTTTTTCTTTAAACTTCACCCAAGAAGACAACAGAAAAAATGCCCACATGTTGCATTTCGGCATACTTGGGTTCTTTACCAAGTTAACTTACCGTAATGTTGCATTTGCAGTAATCTGCTGTTAATTGTTTTAAATAACTTTTATTTGAAGTGGCCCTCCTAACAAAGGTGCTATGGTAATGTGGAATAAAAATAATATAAATATGTTCTGAGACATACAGTTCCAGTATAATTGAGATTTCCCTCACACTGTAGACGAGAAACATTTAAAAAAAAAAACAAACACAGGTACAAGGTACTTCAAGTAAGGGCAGGGTTATAAATCTTGTGTTGTATTATAACATCTGCCTTTTGCTTTGGTCCTGGTCATACAAATCCTTATACTCATGAGTAGACTTGATATTAGTGGGGCTATGCAGGTGAGTAAGAATTTTCAGGATCGGGCCTTTCATTTGAAAATAGAATTGGTTTGCATAGACCTCTCAAAATCTGAAGCCTTCGTAGGCTGTATTTATCCTAAAGTAATATGTTTATTTAGTTTAGTTTAGTGTTAAAGCAGGAGTTCTCAAACTGGGGGTTGGGACCCCTCAGGGGGTCGCGAGGTTATTACATGGGGAGGGGGGGTTGCGAGCTGTCAGCCTCTCCCCCAAACCCAGCTTTGCCTCTGGCATTTATAATGGTGTTAAATGTATTAAAAAGTGTGTTTAATTTATATGGGGGGGTTGCACTCAGAGGCTTGCTATGTGAAAAGGGTCACCAGTACAAAAGTTTGAGAACCACTCTGTTAAAGTATGTTGGATTTTTCATATTTTTGTGAAATTTACACATTCTGGAATCATAAATTAGATGAACTTTCAACGTAGGGTGGCCAGGTGCCTGATTTTTGACCAGAAAGTTCAGTCGAAAAGGGGACCGGGCAGTGTCCAGTCAGATCTACTGACCAGTCACCCAAAGTCTGGTTACTGCTGGCGGGGAGGCGCTGGGTCATCACCCGTGCCATCCCCTACTCAGCCGGGGCCACCACCTTCCTGCGTCGGGCTGCTCCAGCTCCCAACCTTGGCTCTGCAGGCTAATCCCCCCCCTGACCTGGGCGGGGGGGAGGGGAAAAGCAGCGAGCGACGTGGGGGGAGGGAAGAGGGAAAGAGGAGTGGATGGGGACAGAGTCTGGGGAAGAGGTGGGATGAGGAGGTTCCAGCACTCCTGCCAGAGTGTCCGTTTTTTAAATATTACCAAGTTGGCAACTCTATTTCAACTACACAAGAAAAACTGTTTTGCAGCTTTAGCTACTTTACTGGGTTTTGGTTTTGTGTTTTAGGTTTATGATGCAGCAGTCAGGTGGCTGAAGTATGATGAACCTAACCGCCAGCCATACATGGTCGACATCCTTGCTAAAGTCAGATTTCCTCTTATATCGAAGAACTTCTTAAGTAAAACCGTACAAGCTGAGCCACTTATTCAGGATAACCCTGAATGCCTTAAAATGGTGATCAGTAAGTTGCCTCCGAGTTGCATATTTTAATATTCTATACGATCAATTTAGATGCGTAACTTTTTTTGCTCTCTGACTGTTGCTTACTCTAATATGAAAATATTTTTCACTGTATTTTAGTTTAGTTTAAATGTGGCAATAACTGTATGCCTTCTAGAGTGTCTAGTTTAGCTGAAGTTAATTAATTGCTTGTCAAATAAATAGCACCTATTAGAGAATAACAGATATAATGAGAAAAGAAATGAAAGTCAGCGGTAAATGATCCCAACTTAGTGATAAGTAATGAAATGTGGCTTCCTTGTCACGATTATTAGGGATAATTGGGAGGGTTAGTGTACCTTCGAGACTAGCTAATAACTTTAATATTTCTCAGGTTTAGATTGGAATTAATAAGAAATGTTTATGTCAAAATGTCTGAGTCTATGAAGCTTCCCTAAGTGACTTAAGAAAATTAAACCTATGCTCCACCATCTCTGGTACTAATGCAGACTGACAATTGGGACTAGAGATACAGCACTCTAAAGGTGCTGAATGAAATATCTCTGACATAGTCTGTGTTTATTTAAATGAAACAGGAAGGGGACAAATCCTCCTACGCCCCCTTCCTGACCTGTATTCCTAATGCAATCCTTAAATTCATCAAATGCCAGTGATGAATCCAGATATTCATAAACATTATTCAGGTTTTTGGAAAGAAAATCCAAATTTAATTTTAGCCTTCCAATTACTGCTGGAATAAACTACATAGCACTGCTTTAAAAGCAACACTCAGCCATTTTTTTCCTGCTAACCTAACTCTTACAAACTTAAGGCTTCATCCTGCAGGGTGCTGAGTGATCTTGACTCTCAGTAAAGCCAAATGGAGGTTAGAGCTCTTGGTATAAACCCAGGGCAGGGTTGAGGAGACAAGTTATACCACTGCTGATATTAGTAAAATTTTTGGACATACCAGACTATTTCCTAAACAGACAGTAAAGTAAGTGCTTGGATTATCTTTGAAAAGGTCTTATACTGTTGCCACAGGTAAACTAAGGTTTTGGTTTGGTTTTGTTGATGAGAAGGGGAACGCAAACAGCTGCCTCTCCTCTGTGGTGTTAGCTGGAGACTAAAAACAAGTCAATGTCTTCCTAGCATACTTGTATCCCCTATTTAAATTTTGCTGGTCAGGCTTCTCTTTCCTTATACTTCTACTTTGGACTTCCTTTTCTATGCATGTTTCCTTCTGTCAGTTTCCATGTGGCAACTTTCGGTTATGTCTTTAACTAAATGGATAGATTTTTAAACGAATAGAGCATGCAGGCACCTTTTATCCTTGTTCTATTTTGACGTTGCTAGACCTGTCTGACATGGATCCTAAAACTGGGCATCTGTCCTATCCCCATGTTCTACTACAGCGGTTCTCTCAACAGGGGGTCCGCGAGCCCTTTCAAGGGGGCCGCAGGACCCCATGGCTGAAACCCAGACCGTGAGCCTAGCGCCCCCTGTGGGGCTCAAGCTGGGAGGTGCAGGGCTGAAGTCCCAATCCCTGGCACCCCATGGGGGGCTGAAGTCCTGATCCCCACCACTATAGGGGCACAAAGAGCTCCCTGGGAGAATTTCCTATTTAGGTTGTACTGAGCATTCTCACCCGAACTGAGCAGGCTCAGTAGGTAACTGCTATTGGTGGAAAAATGTGCCGGCTGTTGTTTTTGCCATTACACAGGCAGTGCGTGGCAGCTGCTGCTCTGGCTGGTGCCATGGAGCAGGCCGCCGCAGCGTTCCTTCCTCTCCTGCTGGTGCCCCGGGTTAAAGCTGCTCCTCATCTCCCAAATCCCAGTCCCCTTTGCTCCCGCAGAGGCAGCCAGTAAGAGCCACCCAGGTGGGGAGAATCGACTCCGTGGCTGGCAGACCCCTCTGGCAACAGGACCCCACAGCACACAGCCTTTAGTACCCCCCTCCCTGTACCCTGAGCTACCCCGTGCCCACACACAGCTCCAGCTACCCCCGTCCCTACACCCTGAGCTACCCCCAGAGTGCACACAGCTCCAGCTACCCCCCTCCTTGCATCCACAGCCACCCCCTGTGTGCACAGCCCCAGCTATCCCCTTTCTGCACCTCAAGCTACCCCCTGCCCGCACACAGCCCATAGCTACTCCCTCCCTGCGCCCTAAGCTGTTTTCAAACTTTGTGAGCTAAGCTCCCATCTTTGAGTTCTAATTTTTGGTTGCCCCCCAACCCAGATTGGTGGATGGTCTGCTGAGGTAAGTCAGGGGGTGGAGGGTGGCACTCCCTTCCTGGACTCCTGGCCCCTGCGCCCCTCCCCCCCAATAGAAATCAAACTACACCTATGCCCAAGGCCCCGGCCCCCCACCTGACCCCCCGCTGGGCCCTGGAGTTTTTATAGCATGTTGAGGGGGGCCTCAGAGAGAAAAAGGTTAAGAATCCCTCTTCTACTATATATTCTCTCCTAAATGGAAAAAATTGATGAAAATTTTCATGAGTGAAAAAAGTAGGTTTAAGAAAAATGCTGGATATTTGGAAAACGTAGCTTAAAATTTGTTTCTCTACAATTATCATATGCATACATACCTCTCTGTACAATCTGCATGGATTTCCTTGTAGGTGGAATGCGATATCATCTGCTGTCTCCGGAGGACAGAGAAGAGCTAGTGGAGGGCACGAGGCCACGAAGGAAAAAACACGATTACCGCATTGCCTTATTTGGAGGATCACAGCCACAGTCTTGCAGATACTTTAATCCAAAGGTAAACCATTGCGTCAGAACACATGCAGTGTCTCTGTTGTAATTTCCATTTGTTGTGGTGGTGGTGGTGGTGGTTGTAGTGGTATTAACTGAGCACTGATGACCTACTTGGTGCTGTACAGATAGATAGAGAGAAAGATATGTGTGACAGGTTGGACCCCCCTTTCCGGGGTCCCACCTGATGTGCTGGTGTCCCACTGAGCCCACCTGTCCCACCAGACTGGGTCCACCCCCACTCTTGCTGCTGTATCAGGCTCTCAAGCCCTACCTCTGTGAGTGTGCTGGATGGGGGACACACCCAACTGTAGAATCTCACACAGTCTGCAATCCGCTGTGTGTGGAGGGCTCAGCTCAGGGAATTGCCCAGCACTCTGGTGCACACACCCTCTGGAGTGTTAACCCAAAATTATATTGTCTTGTCCTGTATTGTATAGAAATGTATACAGCGTAAACTCATGAAATTCGCCCCCTCCCTCAGTGTGGAGGAAGTTATGCACAGCTTCCTCCCCAACCCTCAAGTTATGAATTGTACAAAATGGGTTTTGGAATAAACAAAAAATGAGTTTATTAACTACAAAAGGTAAATTTTAAGTGAGTACAAGGGATAGCAAACAGATCAAAGCAGATTACTGAGCAAATAAAACCAAACACGCAAACTAAGCTTAATACACTAAGGAGTACTGGCCACAAATAATCATTTCTCACCCTAAATGTTGTTTCAAGCAGGTTGCAGAGTTTCTTGAAGGTAAACTGCACTGCTTGCAGCTTAAATCTCCAGGGATTCCTTTTACAGGCTGATCTGTCTCGCCTGGGCTCACTCCCTACCTCCCCCAGCCTAGTTCCTTTCCTGAAAACACCTGAAGAAACAGTCTTCCTCCTTGGGCGGGTAGGTAGTCGAGAAAAGCCTAGATTAACTCACTCCTCAGCCTTAATAGGATTTACATATGGCGGGAATCTTTTGTTTCCTAGCCCACCCCCTTTCCAGTGGAAAAATACCAGCTCAAGATGGGACCCTGTACCAGGTGACATGACCACATGACCTTGTAGAGTCAAAGCAGCATCCCAGGAAGCCTCTCAGGAAGGTGGGAGATTAGTATTTTCAAAGCTCTATTGTCCTTCTTAATGAAACCATCCAGGCTGATTGCCTACTGTCTGGTGGGCGTTTCAGTTGTAATTGCTACATAGTCAATATTCCTAACTTCAGATACAGAAATGATACATGCATGCAAATTGGATAATCACATCAGTAAATCATAACCTTTCCAATGATATCTCACATGATCCCTCTTACATAAAACATATCTTAGTTATGCCATATTCATATTATGACAATATTTTTATGAAGAATATGGGGTGTAGTGTCACAATATGGTCCTGGCCCCAAGAACTTAATTTTTAAAGAGGAAGGTTAACTTTGATATTCTTAAAACTACCTATTTACATACAGTACTTAATTTTTATTAATGGTACCAAACTTATTTCTCTGTAGTACTTGATATAAAACTGATTTAATATAACTTTATTCAAGAGCTTTATCAGCAATGCCATCCCTGTTGGAAACAGATAAATACCAGGAAATACTAGCATAAAGTAATTAAGTAGGAATACGTTGTGTGAGGAGAGATCATAAAGAGACATCATCAATTTTAAAAATTGCACTTTTCTCTGCTTGTTTTTAACTTGACTAGATTTGAAGTTGGTGTCTCTTAGCCAATTTTGTATTCATATTAATTGTACCTTGTCACATTTACTGATCAACCTTTGATATAAAAAATTTAAAAACTGCATACTTTTTAGTGTAAATTAAGAGGTTTGCATGTATGATAGCACAGCAGATTCCAGAACCCTTTTACACGATGCAAGGATTTTTGTTCATCATTCTGATATCGGGTGCTTGAGCTCTGCATAAAGATGACAGGTAATTACTACTAAGTCACAGTGGTGGGTGCATCTTGTTAGTTCTAGCCAGCATCTAAGGGAGTGGGAGCCTTTCTGAAACACAGGGAACTAATTGTTGGGCCGAAGAGGATCTTTAATTAAAAATCTTAAAAACCAGCCAAGCTTGGAGATTCAAAGACTGAGGCCAGAATGGACCATTAGATATCTATTCTGACTTCCTGTATATTGCAGGCACTTAAATTTCACCCAGTTAAGCCTGCACTGAGCCCAACAACTTGTTCTTGGCTGAAGCACATCTTGCAGAAAGGCAACCAGTTGTGATTTAAAGACCTCAAGAGATGAGAGAATCCACTGCTTCCCTTGGTCGTTTGTTCCCATGATTAATCACCCTCACTGTTAAAATCTCCAGAGTGATTCTTGTCTGCATATTTATACCTGCCTCTGGAAATTTCCATTACATGCATCTGACGAAGTGGGCATTCACCCACGAAAGTTTATGCTCCAATACATCTGTTAGTCTTAAAGGTGCCACAGGACTCTCTGTTGCTTGTTAAAATGTGTGTCTTATTTCCAATCTGAATTTGTCTGGCTTCAGTTTCTAGCCTCTGGTTCTTGTTATGCCTTTCTCCACTAAATTAAAGAGCCCTTAATACCCCGTATGTTCTCCCTGTCAAGGTACCTCCCAGTCTTCTTTTTGATAAGCTACACAGCTCTTTAAGTCTCTCACTGTAAGACATTTTCTCCTTATAATTTTTGTGGCCCTCTTCTCCAGTTTTTCAACAGCCTTTTTAAAATAGGGACACCAGAACTGTACACAGTACAGTCTCACCAATGCTGTGTATAGAATTAAAATCGCCTTCCTACTCCCCAGCATGCATCTCCAAGGATCGCATTAGCCCTGCTTGCCACAGCGTCACTTTGGGAGCTCATGATAAGTTGTCCACTTCAGAGTCCCTGACTTTCAGGATACAGTCCCCAATTCTCTAGGTATAGCCTGCTTTCCTTGTTCCTACATTTATCACTTTGCATTTGGCTGTATTAAGGTGTATTTTGTTTGAATGGACCCAGCCTACCAAGCAATCCAAGTTGCTCTGTGTGACTGCCCTGTGCTCATAATTTACCATTCCACCAATCTAAGTATCATTAGAAAATGTTATCAGCAGTGATTTTATATTTACTTCCAGATCATTGATGAAAATGTGGAATAGCATGAGGCCTAGTACTGATCCCTGTGGAATCCCACTAGAAACGTCCCATTCAGTGATGATTCTCCCTTGACTAATTTTTGAGAATTATCCGTTAGCCAGTTCTTAATCCATTTAACGTGTGCTTTATTGATTTTTTTGTTGTTGTTGTATAATGTAGATTTTTTTTATTTCAGTTACTAATAAATCCAAACAGCAGGAAGGGAGTAAATTTAGATGGTATGCAGTGTATATATACTCTGGTAACCTCAGCTGCTTATAGAAAGATTATCTATGCTTTCCACTATCACCCCAACACACACACGAATCCTAAAACACATTGATATATATTTTAAAAATTAATTGGGGTGATATGATGTGTTTTTATAAAAATACCACAAAGGAATATACCATACCAGACGTATTGCTGTAAAATTGGCATATCAAATATGTGTTACAGTTTCAAATGGCTGTATGCTGTGTGTGTTTTTGGTGGACTGTGAAGGGCCATTTGAGGCCATAGAACCTATGATTCAGAATGTAGGAGTCCATGGGTAAAATCTTGGGTTCCATTTGAAGCGAATGGCAAAATTCTCATTGACTTAGCTAGGATTAGGATTTCATTCCATGTCTCTTCCTTTTTGTGCACAGATAGTCTCCCTTGAAATCCAGGAAAATGTAACCAGACTTGCTCTTTCCTATACCTGCATCTGTCACTTGGCTCTTAGAAAGCACTTAAATTCTCTATCTCCAAAGATGGAATTCTGTTAGGAACTGTGGATTCCTAAATAATTAATTGCACTTTACCTCTCTGATCACTTGATTCACATACTAAAGAAAGATATATGAACACTGTCTTTGTAGGAAACAGAGTAGAGATTTATATGGTAGGATATCATTTCCAGGGTAAAATGATGAATTCCCAGCAAGAGGTTGTTCAGAGAGGTGCAATCCATGTTTGAAAACATACCTTCTATCTTCGATCAGTCTATTCATCCTCTTCAAACAGTTATTTTTTTCTGACATTTTAACAAGGCTGTGATATATGCCTCTCTGTGTTAGATCAAATTGTTTCTCTTAATCGCAGATCATAGATAATGTATGAAATTATTTTAAGGCAGAATGGAAACTGGCTCTGAGTACTACAGCTTCAGTCATTAATTGGTAGTTCTGTTATCTTGGCTTAGAGCAGGGGTCAGCAACCTTTCAGAAGTGGTGTGCCGAGTCTTCATTTATTCACTCTGATTTAAGGTTTCGCGTGCCAGTAATACATTTTAATGTTTTTAGACGGTCTCTTCCTATAAGTCTATAATATATAACTAAACTATTGTTGTATGTAAAGTAAATAAGGTTTTTAAAATGTTTAAGAAGCTTCATTTAAAATTAAATTTAAATGCAGAGCCCCCTGGACCGGTGGCCAGGACCCGGGCAGTGAGAGTGCCGCTGAAAATCACCTCGTGTGCCGCCTTCGGCACGCGTGCCAGAGGTTGCCTACCCCTGGCTTAGAGTATATCCAGTCTCTTTGCCAACATAACTAATAATAAAAAGGCTAAATTCCATGATAAGTACTTCCTGTTAATTGAGGTAAAAGTGGAGAGGGGGGGAAGACCCATTAATAACTATATAAACTAGTACAAAATTCCTAGATATTTTTTTGAAGGCTTAATCTTGTAAAAGCCCCTGATGTATGCTATGTGTGTGTGCTGCAAGGCAATAACTTGCAACTTGAAGAAAGGTTGTGTTTGCTGTCAGGTGATCTTCAACCAAAACCTAAATGAGATATTACAAGTAAGAGCCCTTTGAATTTTCCAATGTTCTGCAACAACTACTCTGGCCCATCACAAGGTCAGAATTATTTGACTCTAGATGGAGCTTTGTGCAGCCCTGCTTGGTCAGAAGAACTCCTGAGTTATGTGGCCTTGAAGGTGGGATGGTAAAGAGGAGTGACAAGTGGGTAATTGGGGATCTGAGAATCAAAGACAGGGTAAAAGCATTTTGTAAACACTGGCTGGAGCTCATACACTTGTGCTGCTAACTAGCCACATATTAGATGTTCCATTTGATATATGTTGTTGAGCAGTTCTGTATTTGCTCAACAATACTGAAAGAGCTTTTAAAAAGTCTCTCAAGCAGCACTGTAATTAATCTTTTATTAAATTAATATTGTGGTATCGCCTAGAAGTCACCGAGCAAGGGTCAAGGCCCCAGTGTGCTTGGAGTTGCAAATGCTGTGTCCGTGTGCATATACCATCTAAGGCTCTAATCCCGCAAAGATTGGCGCACATGCTTAACTTTATATATTGCCAGTGATCTCATTGAAATCCGTAGGACTGCTCACAGTACAAAAAGTTAAGCACATATGTAAATCTTTACAGGGCCTTAGTAAAGAATAAAACTCAGTTATATGCTGCCTGCTGCACACAGGTTTGATAGAGAGGTAGTCCTTCATATTTAACTTTAATGTAGAGAGTTTCCTACACTTCTATTGAAGAAACACTGCTAAAGGTTGTTTCCAATCCAGTAATTTGGAAGGGGGAAGCTATTTGGTGGGAAGGAGCATTGCCTTCAAAGAGGGTGATTAAGCATCCTCCTCAACCTGTCATCAATATTAAAAAAAAACAAAAAAAACCCACCGCCACTTGGAAGGAATTTCAGATGACAGATCACAAAGGAATCAAGTTCTGTGTGGGAACCAACACTATTATTAATGCCCTCATTCAGCAAAGCAGGTGGTTAAGTGCTTTGCTGGACTGGGGCCTTAGAGCATTATCATTAAATAAACCCACAGGGATACCAGTTAGTCTTCTATAGGTTATAGAAGGATCATTGAGTCCCATGTTGCTATCCTCTTATTTTGGGATTTAGCTGCTGTTTAACCTTGGAAAGTCCTGCCTTTCCCTATGTCTCTGATTCATCCTTTGCTGTGATTATATAATACTTCTCCAAACTAGACTAAGTATCCTCCTTGGAGGAATACTAAAAAAATGTTATAGAGTAACAACATGGTGGTTGCATGACATCTGCTATTGTAGGAGATAAAATATAATTTAAATCCCACAGAAGTGAAGAAACTTATGAGTTAAAGGGACACAATCAACTTGCAAAAATTGCATGTCTCCCTAAAAATGTTGTCTCTACTAGTGTTACAAATAACAATTGTAAATAACAGGGTGCAAAAGATTTCTTTCAGGTTGTTTATTTAGTACACAAAGTGCTGTCAAATGCAGATTTTTCTCCTGTACAGACTGCTAGTCGGTTTTCCTGGTTTTTTTTTTTTTCCTTTGTCATAAAACAGGGAAGAGGAAAACCATTTAAAAATAGAAAAATGTGATTGCACACATTGGCACAGAAATTAGGAGGAGTGGTTGGAAGCTATTTCTGCCTTTTGTCAACTTGCTATCTAGTCAATTAAGTGTCCTTTTTAAAGTTAAATTCTGCTTTCCTAGATGCACTATGGCTAAGGGCTCCTGTGATGCATGCCTTTCCCTCACTAAGAGGGGGAAAGAGTGGTGCATCATGGAAGATGTAGTTCAGCTCATAGAGGAGAATGATTGCATAAGGCATCTGAATTACAGCTTCCATGAGACGCCATGGCACCATTTTAATTAAATATTTCGGTTTTCAATATTTCATTTAAAATAAATCTAAATCATGTGCAGGAGGGGGGGGAAAAAACTACTTCCCAATCCACGCTGCTGAATAGCATGACAGATGGGTAACAATCCTGGCTTCTTGTTAAGCCGTCAGCACAAATCTTGTATGCGTTACCCCGAGTCAGCTTTTTTTTCTCTAACAACCTGAACTATCGAGTTCAAACTTTCTGGCTTCCCTTTTTTACTCTCCTTTACCCCCAAAACCAACCAGGCCTGACACAGGCTAGTAGTGGGGAGCAGTACCTCATCGCCAGAACAAGACCTTGCTTGCTTCTAGTTAGAGGATGATGAGTCTGCTGAATAGGTCACCCCAGAGGAGGATCATGGAAGGCCCTGGGCTTCCCTACAAGGTCTGAAGCATGATTCTGGAGGAAATAGGAGTTGTGGATTGAGGCTGCTGAAGGGGGTCAAACCCACTAGATCCCCTCTGCAGTTGAGGGAGAGAAGCTTTTTGCAATGAAATCAGGTAGAAAACAGGATGATCTTACACAAAGTAGCAAGAGAACTTGAGGTTTAAGTATTCCTTGATAAGATTAGTTTTCTTCCAGTGCTGTAGCATACCTTCTCTGGAGGCTGTCAGGAGGGTCAGCCTAAACAGCATCCTCATGTGGCATTACTGATTGTGACCCGGGGTGCCTGGGGCAGCCCTCACTGGAAATGCCACGGTCAGGGCAGGCTGCGAAAGGGAGAGCAGATTCTTCCAAGACTTGTGGGTAACATTGAAGTTAAACTCCGCAACCAGTCACAGACTGCGCTTCTGATCCTTCTCCCCCCTACCCCCCACTGGTTATCAAGAAGCAAAAAAGAAATCACACAGCCCCCTTATTGCATTCCAGTTCTCTGGCTCTCAGTCAGCACCTAGGTCCAGTACAGTGAGAAGTTATTTAAAAAACTCTGCTCACATATACAGAAATGTTCTTCTGACCCCAAAGGTGATGCAAACACATAAATGAGATTATCATATTTGGCAAATTATATCATTTTTGCAGATATCTTACATGACATATCTGGCACAACTCATTGCAATTTTACAATACTAATGTTCATAATATCCTAAAGTGTCCCCCAAATTCCATACAGCATCATACTGATAACTTAAACAGTAGTCCCAAAGGTGACATAAAATAGAATGGTCTTCCACTACCCTTGGGGGGCCCTTCTGCCCCACTCTTGTGGGGCACTGACAGATTTTTTCCCCAGAGCCTAGCTCTGATCCAAGCTGCTGACCCTGGAGCCTTTCTTACCAGTGTGGATCCTGATTCCTGATCTCCCTCCTGGCCATCTGCCTGGGTTTTGGCCCTTTCCAGGGCCTGCCACAGAATCCTCCTTTCCTGCCACAGGACCCTCCTTTCCTGCCACTTTCTCCCTTCAGGGCCAGTCACAGGACAGAACTTTCCTCTTGCGGCTCTTCTCACCAGCTGAATGCTCCCAGCCGTTTATGGAATTCATCTGATGCCTTCCCAGGTGGGTCTGAAACTGAATTCAGCCACCTGATCCACCTGGGGGAGAACTGATCCATCACAGGCAAGGCTAAGCCTGACTTCCCATGAGGGGCCAGCCAGCCTGTCACATAGCCCAAGAAATTAGTGTTAGCCCTTTGCTCATTATCACCAAGGTCCTCATGCATCTTGTCAACCCTTCTTAATGTGTGAGATGCTTCTAAGGCAGATTGCAAGCTGTTTTGGGCTGCAGTCGTCAGTATATTGATTTTACTTAGCTCTGTTGTCTTTACATTGAGTCCAGATATTGGTAACATTTCTTTCTCCATGTCTGACCAAGGTATCATTCATGCTACCTCCTTGAAATACATGTACTTAAAGTTATCTTGAAGACCACCCAGCAACTTTAGATAGTGCAGAACGCAGCCACCCTCCACCCGAATGGAGTAGGGTGATGCACATGTAATCCCTGTGCTCAAATCTCTTCACTGGCTCCCTGTGCACCACTAGATGCAATTCAAGCTGTTGGTGAAAATCTTTTAAAGCTCTGAACGATCTGAGATGTAGCTGTTTAAAAGCTGCCTCTTGTACTATATGCCATCACAGTGTGCAGTCAGCTCCTTGGTTGGACGTTTCTAGGACTTCCCCAGCGAAGGTCCCCCGCTCATTACCACCCATGTTTGGTACTTGTTTCTTCTTGCAGTCTGTTAGAGCTCAGATACCTGACAGTGTGGCTGCTAACATTTCTGCCAGCAGCATTATCAGTTTTTATTAGTGCTATCCACTGTGGATAGCTATGTATAACGTGTTGCTAAAAACTGTAAACAAGCTCCTAGCTGTCAGCAATTAGAGCTCTATGTGAGATGCAAATTTTTAACACTCTTTTGTAAAACTGGGCATATTTTTATTCTGTAGTAATGTGTTCTTTCTCTATATCAGATGTCTCTTCTTCCAGTCCCATAAAATAAACAACTTTAACCATTTTATGGACAGCATGTATAGTTTCTGATATGATGGTAGTAGGAGGTCAAATCTTTTTTTGTACTTTTTGTGCTTTTATTAAATTCTCAGTTCTCAGGAAGCTGTTTTGGGTGCACAAAAGGAATAAGAAAATAGAAATCGGTACTGCCATGGTTCGTTGCAGCTAACCGCATGTGTGTCTAAGAGAATTTTTCAAAACGTATGTGCCTGAGGAGCGTTCTTCAATTCACAGCACTGGTGTTTTGTTTTGAAAAGGAAACTTAAAACTGATCATGTCTAAATCTCTGTGAAAATATTTGTTTGAAAACTCTCACTCCAGGTAGACATTACCTGTTCTTTATAATGCAGGATTACAGCTGGACAGACATCCGATGTCCCTTTGAAAAGCGCAGAGATGCAGCTTGTGTCTTCTGGGACAATGTAGTTTATATTTTGGGTGGCTCCCAACTCTTCCCTATAAAGCGAATGGACTGCTACAATGTGGTGAAGGATAGCTGGTATTCCAAACTGGGACCTCCAACGCCTCGAGATAGCCTTGCAGCCTGTGCTGCGGAGGGCAAAATTTATACATCTGGTGGTTCAGAAGTGGGTAAGACACAATCTTTTTTTAAAAAAAACCCAGAAATACATTAAATGCTTTTTAGTTCCATTACTTCCTTGTTTGAATAGAATCTATACATGTTGCTGTAATACTAGACTATAAAGTTCTTCTGTTCGATAATAGGTCTCTTTTCCCAGATGCTGAGAGGTTTTATCAATTTGTATTGCATTTTTAGATGCTATTTTACTGAGTAAAAATGAACAGTCTATCTTTTATCTGTATCATAAAGAAATTACTACAACTGCCTGGAGTAAATTAGCTGCAAGCAAATACATTTTGGGGGTCAAATTCTGTTCTCTGTTGACTGGTGTAACTCCCAGATAATTCCACTGACTTTTGATTCAGTAATAGCAGAATGTAGCCCAAGATTTTTTGTCACAGCTAATGCAGCACCAAGACATTGCATTTGGGTAGCTAGTGTGAATAAGATTTCTGTTAATAGTCTTACTATAATGGGCCTAATAAATATGAAGCCCAAATATCAGCTATCTTAATAATGCCATTTAATGTAACTATATAGTATTTTCAAAAGCTATCCGTTTGTACAGGAGGGAAAACCCTACTTAACTGTTCATGGAAAGAAAAATTTCCTATCCCCCAATTTTAGAGGATTATTTGTTGAAAAAAGTTGCTTCTTGCTGGTTTGTTTTTCTCTCGTTCTCTGTTAACTTCAGTTAATGAGGCAGAAACTAACTTTCTCCTTCAGAAACAGATTTTTGACTGTGTAACAGTGAAAAAGATCCTGTAAACCACAGAGGAAGATAAAACGATTGCCAAGACAAGTGCCTTGGTTCTGATTTCACACTTTAGTATTAGCTCAATTTATTTCAATTGTCTTATGCCTAATTTACACTGATGTAAGTAAGGTCTTCATCAGACCAATTGCTGCAATGTAATGTATGTAGAATCTCACAGATTATTGCTGTGAGAGCTAAAAGCTCTGCAGTCTGCCAAAATATCTAATGCTGTGACAGTACAATTCATAGCAAGTGATTTTGAGTTCTGCCTTGCTGCAGAATAAAGCAAGCAGAAGATAAACAACCATTAGCATCAGTGCTTAACACTGAAATATTACTACCTTGATAAGAAGTTGTGATATTTAGATAGCATTTGATTTTAAAATACGTCATCAGGTTTGGCTTTGCAATTGATAAGGCAACAGTTCATTGCTGCCATCTAGTGTTGTACATATGAAATAACCATTTTCCCTCTTTCAAATCATTTACGCATCTCATGCTGTGATATTCAGACCTGAGTAAGGCCTAGCCTTCTCTGTCCAAAACAACAGTCCATGAAGGTAGTGTGTCCGAAACTTTGACTGCATAGGCTCTTTTGCCCAGCATCTCGTGAAGTTAATACACCTGTAATAGGAAACTGTTCTAGGATTTATGTGTTTTCAGTTAAATAAGATGTATAGTTCTCCTTTTATCACTATAAACGTTTAAGATATTTAGTTCTCCTCTTACTATTCTATTAGAATTAATTTTGGCAGTGTATTTTAGAATCTTTGACAAACATTGGCCAATTGTCCAGAAGAATATTTTTATTCAAACTGTGACAAACTTTTACCATCCTGTTTAAGATCAAAGTGAATAAGTAACATTTTTACCTGTCTTATGTCTAAAGTTTTTTTCCCTAATCTTCCTATAATACTTAGTTGTAAATTACAGATTTTTCAATAAACTCCTCAACAAGTCAGTAACTTATTGTGTGTTGTTAGATTGGCTATGATAAGAGTCTGAAAAACATGGTACCAATTTAATCCAGGTTGAAGATTTCACTGGCTGATTTCTATTTATTCACTGTAGACTATACTTTGGCTAATATGGCCTCTTTCCCCCTTATTGCTTTGGTGGGAGTGCATTTTAGTTTTAACTTGAAAATTTTTGTTAGCTGTTGCAAGTGATGGAACTCTTTATTTTATTTGGACAAAAAGAGAGATTCCTTTATATTGTATTGAAAATGTATTCAGAACTGATGTTGTATTTCGGATTTTTTTAAATAAAGTTCTATGGCCATTCCTGTTAATGCTAACTTGCACAATTCCCATTAGCGTTAATGTGTGTGTATTTATATAAAGGAAGAATATGCTCCATTCCGTGTGTAGTTTAGCTTTATGATTGTTTATTATCCCATGTTATCCCTGCTAAATGGAACTAAAGTGTGACACAGCCTGTTTCATAATTAGTTAATGTGCAGCTTGGCTAGTCGGATGATAATATGTACAATATACATGTATGTTTCATAGAAGTCTATGCAGGCCTGATGGCCTAGTGAAAATGTAATGCTCTGCCACATGGGTTCCAAGGGTTTGAATCCCTACCTCCCAAGGCAGGCAAGGGTTGGGAGTTCTGCAGAAGTAGCATGCTCAGTCCTGGAGGTAGAGAGGAGGGGGAAATACCTTGCCTTCAGTCGAGTGATGATATCTGATGGAATGAAGAGTTAAAATGACAGAGTAGCTAGAGGAAACCATATCCAACCTTCTTCAGTTGGGCCTTGATTCAGACAAGCACCTAAGCTGATGCTAAAGTATCATTGAATTACTGTTGTAATCAATAGGACTCTTTCTATTGACTTCAGAAGGAACTGGATTGGGCCTGTCAAGGGAAGGGCACTGATACGGGACCTTTAGAAAGTGAGAGGCACATGCCATCTTGCCACCCCCAGAAAAGAAGTACAATATCAGATGGTAGCTTTGTAGTTAAATGGTCACTAATCACATGGATGTAAGCTACCACATCATTCCAAAAAAGAATACATTGTGACCAGCATTATGAAGTGAATTAATCAAGCCGTGTATTGTCATGTGAATCCTGTTGATTTGTATGAATTTGTGCAAAGACAATTTACAAGTCTTTATCAATTTGACTGTGGCATCTAAGAGTTCAGCATATTTCAAATAATGAAGCTGACATAAACTATCATTTTATCAATTACATGTAAATGTACTCTCCCATGTGTCTGTTCATTTCTTCTTTTAATCCACCTCCCTGAGCTATTCAAATGACTTTCATTAAATTTTAAAGTACAGATATCAAAACTTATCCCAGGTTTAAGGCCAGCTAGTTTTTAGGGGGCTGGGGTAGAGAGGAATGGGATAGAAAACCGCTTTCCCCTTTAACTAATGATTGAAGTATTGACTCAGTATTGTTAGGTTTTTCTTTTCAAATACAACCGCTAAAGTAAATATTACTTTGTTTTCTTGAAGGAAATTCTGCTCTGTATTTATTTGAATGCTATGATACAAGAACAGAAAGCTGGCACACAAAGCCCAGCATGCTGACTCAGCGTTGCAGTCATGGGATGGTGGAGGCAAATGGCCTGATTTACGTATGTGGAGGAAGCTTGGGAAACAATGTTTCTGGAAGGGTCCTGAATTCCTGTGAAGTTTATGATCCAGCAACAGAAACGTATGTACCAATGCTAATGCCCTTTGTCACTAGTAGCTCTTGTGGACTTGCTCGCTTTTCAAATAGCTAAACTATAGACAACCAGGAAGAATTGTGCAATTACTGAAGAAGGGACAGGAATAGTGAATAGGAATCCAAGATATTTGACTGACTGGCTGCAAACTGGAGGTCTGTGCTTTAGGTAGCTTTCCTCCTCCATATCTTGCCTTTCCCCAATCCCAGAAGATGGGAAAGAAATGTAAATAAATGACCAAGAACTAGGTGAGTAACTCTTCATTTTTTTTCTTTTTTTCAGGTGGACTGAGCTGTGTCCAATGATAGAAGCCAGGAAGAATCATGGGCTGGTGTTTGTAAAAGACAAAATATTTGCTGTGGGTGGACAAAATGGCTTAGGTATTCAGTTTTGTAACTCTTCAATTTATCCACAAAATATTGTTTCTGACTATGTTCTTTTTTACATACAAGTTATTAATGATTAATAATCATGTTTTATTACAGTAATACCTAAAGACCAACCAGGAATAGGGCCCCATTGTGCTAGACACTGAGCGAGCAAACAGAGTAACAGATACTCCTTGTCCTGAATATCTTACAAACTAAATAGACAAGACAGACACAGGGTGGGAGAAAAGGTAAAACACACTAGCAGAGTGAAGAATGTGATAGTGGTAAACAGCATATAAGTTCCACAATTTTTGGGGTTGGGGCGGTGGATTTACTTAAGAGGGGATCAACTGGAGGGATCAGGATGGGGCAGGAGAGGATTAAAGGGGCAGGTGTGGAGTGAAGCTAAGGTAAAGAGACTGTGAGGGAGGAGGAAGGTTGAAGCAAACAGCTAATCAGTACTGGACAGAGAAAGTTCATTGCAGTCATGTTCACGCAACTGAAGGACTCTTATGAGCAGACAAGTAAAAGACTGGTTTGCAGTCTTCCAACTAAACTAGTGGATGAGTTATCTTGATAACATGAACGTTAAAATTGGAATTATGCTACTTTGTAACTTGGAAGACCACTTGTTAGTTTGTTTTTGTTAATACATCAAATCACTACAATTTTTGATAAAGCTACATCTACTATTTTTGGAATGTGTTGCTTGGCAGCATGGCAATCATGCAAAATAAGAACAGAATCTATATCATATTCCCTTTTTTGAATACTCACACTGTAAAATCTGATCTAGGTCAGAAATTAGGATAAAGTGAACCTATCATTTAGAATTTTGCCTTATGCTTAGTAGAAATCTGGTACCATGCAGTCACATAAAGGTATTATTAAAAGGCTGAAATTGGAATTTAGTCAGGACACAAGGGTAAGCACCCCTCTTATGTGAAAAGAGCTCTGGGATCTGAACAACCTCAGGCTATTAAGGGCCCTCATTATTGCATCATATGCAAAAGATGGCAGCTTCTTCAACAAACCCTCTTCCCTTGTTTTCAATTCCTTTCCTAGCGGTATGTTGGAATTACTGAGTCATTAAGAATAATTAATCTACCTATTTGTTTTGTTCAGCACTCTGTTCCCCCCTCCCTCCCTCCCAGCTGAGGAAGGTTTCCCTTGCAGCTAGGTTGGGAGAATTGCTAAGCTCTCTAGTAGCTTAACTTCTTGAACACTGGCAGTGTCAGAAACTGCATTTTTATGATATTGATCTCCATTTCTTTGCTTTTGGGGTGACAGCAAACACATACTCTCCTCCCTCCACTGTTGCTTCCCTTCTTTCTGCCTCCTTGTATCCTAGATACTTCCCAAACTTTCCTACTTGAAATTGGATCTGGTGGAACTGCCATTAGTAAGTACTTTGGGGAAGCTTGTTCCCACTGTTAAATGAAACTATTCTAGAACAGGGTTAACTGGATTAACTTGTCATTTGACAAGAGGGTAACTTCATTACTCTTCATTAGATATTTTTGAGAACTGGCAATGGTGTACTTAGCTCTGTGAGAGAGAGAAAGATACAGTCACTCCCCTGAGGAACTTACAGTCTAAAGGATTATTACAAATCAATAATTAAAAAGGGTGAAACTACCTGTTTTGACTGCCCTGAATACGTAACATAGGATTTGCTGGGCAGTCTTGGGCAAGTCTCTTGTCCTCTGTTTGTCTCCCCACCTGTAAAACAGAAATAATAATACTTACCTACCTCACAGAGTGATGAAAGTTAATTAGGTAATGTTTCTAAAGTGCTTTGAAGATGAAAATTACTCAAATGCTAAACTTATTATTACTTATTCATGCTAACAACTGGAATATTTTGTTTCAGATTAATGCTAATTAAATGGCAAATTATAAACTTTCCCAAAATATTTACTAACAGTATTCCAACGTAATGGGTAGTTTCCAACGCAAAGAGGTATATGTAGGTGCATCTTACGTGCACACAATGAGACAATCAGAGTTAGAAACTCCACCCTTTGAGCCTACTAGTTGAACACCCAATTTGAAAACATACAGCACTTACCCAGTAGGCCAAAATACTATTTTGCAGTTGACTTTTTGTTCAGTGAAAATTGGCCTGATTGACTAATTACTTCCTTTCAGTGCAGTCACTGTGGTATAATAACAGTGCCATGGTCATGGATTCCATATCTCTTCAGGTCATAATGTGTTCTTAAAATCCCATGTATCTAAACAGTTAGAATTTGGGACTGGGAATCAATACTCCTCTCTGCCTTGTGGGTGATAGTGTTGTGAGGCACTGTTTGTAAAGTGCTTTTTAAGATTTTTGGATGAGATGCTATACATTCATGTTTGGGGTCTTGTAACTGCTTTTCATCGCTTCCCCTGTCCCCTTCCCTCTTTTGAAAGAAAAAACAACTAATCCCAATTAAAGAACATGTTGCCTTCTAAGAAACGGGGGGAGGGGGTTGATTTTAATTTAAAAAAAAAATTGGATGTCAAGTTTCAGCCCAGAGTGAAAGTTTTAATGAAGAATCATTAAATAGCAATTTATAATTGGAAATGTTACACAACTGGAACTCCAGCAGCACAAACATTACCCACATGTGTGGTTATGCACACTCTACACAAATATGTGTGTTCTATAAATACTCCCACAGGGAGAAGATGTATGATAGATTAAAGAGCCTTCTACTACTATCGGTCAAAGGCATTTTCTGTAATATTTTTATGTAAGCGGTGGCAGTGTTCATATTGCTGTTAATTGTTACTTGTTTGATTCATTTCAAGGTGGCCTAGACAACGTGGAATATTATGATATTAAGATGAATGAATGGAAGATGGTGTCACCAATGCCGTGGAAGGGTGTAACAGTGAAGTGTGCTGCTGTGGGCTCTATAGTCTATGTCCTGGCTGGCTTTCAGGGTGTGGGCCGATTAGGGCACATCCTTGAATATAATACTGAAACAGACAAGTGGGTAGCCAACTCCAAAGTCCGTGCTTTCCCAGTGACGAGTTGTTTAATCTGTGTTGTTGATACTTGTGGAGCAAATGAAGAGACATTAGAGACATGAAGGCCTCAAGGAGAGGTCAGGACATTTTTCAGAGACTTGGAAAAGATGGCCATTGGTGCTTTGCTTCTGTGTTTTATTGATTCTTGTTAAACTGAATAATCTGAAAAACTGAGATGCAGTCCTCACATTTGTATATACAGTATGTGCCAGTTTAATTTTTACAGTTTGTTTTAAAAGATGGGATGCATTTCAAGGTTCCACTAACATAGTTGAGAACACACGACAAGTTCTCTTGAAAATATTTCTTTTGGGTGGCTTTGCCAAAAAACAGACAACCTCCACCCTCACCCCACACCACTCAACCCAGTTACTTAGAAAATGTTAGTGCATTTGATGTAGTTTAGCCTAAATCTCATCTTTACTTTACTTAGTTAAGTTACTTAGTTAAGTCATCTTTACTTTACTTTAGTTAAGTGAAAAGCAGACTGTGAAGAGTAACAAAGGGATCTCATAAAACTGGGTGGCTGGGCAACAAAACGGCAGATGAAATTCAATGTTGATAAATGCAAAGTAATGCACATTGGAAAACATAATCTCAGCTATACATATAAAATGATGGGGTCTAAGTGGACTGTTACCACTCAAGAAAGAGCTCTTGGAGTCATTATGGGTAGTTCTCTGAAAACATCCACTCAATGTGCAGCAGCAGTCAAAAAAGCTAATAAAATGTTGGGAATCATTAAGAAAGGGATAGATAATAAGACAGAAAATATCATATTGCCTCTATATAAAGCCATGGTTCACCCATATCTTGAATACTCGTGCAGATGTGGTTGCCCCATCTCAAAAAAGATATATTGGAATTGGAAAAGGTTCAGAAAAGGCAACAAAAATGATTAGGGGTATGGAACAGTTTCCATATGAGAAGAGAGTAATAAGACTGGAACTCTTCAGCCTGAAAAAAAGATGACTAAGGGGGATATGATAGTCTATAAAATCATGACGGATGTGGAGAAAATAAATATGGAAATGTTATTTACTCCTCATAACACAAGTACGAGGGGTCACCAAATTAAATTAATAGGCAGCGGGTTTAAACAAAAGGAGGTATTTCTTCACACAACACACAGTCAACCTGTGGATGTTGAGGATGTTGTGAAGGCCAAGACTATAACAGGGTTCAAAAAAGAACTAGATAAATTCATGGAGGATAGGTAAGGCTACGTGTCTGTCACAGAGATCACGGAAATCACAAATTCCGTGACTTTTTCAGCGGCCGGTGCAGCTAGCTCCAGAGATGCCCAAGCAGATCAGGCAGCCCCTGTGCCAGCCGCACCGGCTGCTGCTGGGGCAGTTTGGGTGTAGGAGAGGGCTCAGGGCTGGGGCAGAGCTTGGGGTGCAGGGCGGCGCTTATCTGGGGGGGGCTCCCTGGAAGCGACTGACACATCCCTGCAGCTCGTAGGTGGAAGGGTCAGGGGGCTCTGCGCGCTGCCCACTCTCGCAGGGGCTGCCCCCGCAGCTCCCATTGGCTGCGATTCCCTGCCAATGGGAGCTGCAGAGTCGGAGCTCGTGGTGGGGGCAGCATGGGGAGCCCCTGTGGCCTTCCCTCCCCCATTGGGAGCTGCAGGGACATGCGGAGCCGGGTAGGGAGTCTGCCAGCCCTGCCAACACCCCCCTCCCCCAGCACCAGCAGGGGACCCAGGCTGTTCGCCCCCCTCTTCCTCCACGGCACCAACGGAGGTCCCAGTCTGCGTGCCGCCGCCTACCCCCCAGCACCAGCAGGGGTCCTGGGCCACACACCCCAGCACCCATGGCACCCCCAGACCACCACCACCCCGAGCACCTGCAGCCCCCCAGACCAAGTTTTAATTAGGGGTACAAGTCATGGACAGGTCACGGGCTGTGAATTTTTTTTTTTACTGCCCGTGACCTGTCCATGACTTTTACTAAAAATACCCATGACTAAAACATCGTCTTAAGGATAGGTCCATCAATGACTATTAGCCGGGATGGGCAGGGATGGTGTCCCTAGCCTCTGTTTGCCAGAAGCTGGGAATGAGCAACTGGGGATGGATCACTTGATGATTACCTGTTCTGTTCATTCCCTCTGAAGCACCTGGCATTGGCCACTGTTGGAAGACAGTTTACTGGGCTAGGTGGACCTTGGGTCTGACCCAGTATGGCCATTCTTACGTTCTTATGAAATTTCTACAGCTCAGACACAGAGATTCTACCAAAGGTGAGTGAATATAGCTTGGGTCACAAGCAAAAATGAATTTGCTCATACTGTTCCCTTTCTCATTGATGCACATTGCACAACTACGATTCTACTTATATAACTGTAAGTATCCAGCCTTGCAACACAAGGGGTATAATAATGGATTAGGAGTGATGTGCAGATAACTTGCACAGCGCCTGTCTGTACTATGGCTGGTTTATTCCCATGCTGTTCATACCTCACCTTCATGATCATTTCAGTGCATACTGATTTTAAATATTAGACAGGCCATATGTACATTACAGAAACATTGATGCCTAGATATTTGATTTGGCACTTTGACGGCCTTATACAAAAAGACCTCTAAATTATCACAAAACTCAGAATCTTGAAGTTTGATTGCATATGTCATTCCTCACAATAATAGTGCTCTGTACTATCAGATTGGGCACTTGGGATCAATTCCCAATCTGTTTTCCCATTCAAATGTGCTGTAAGCACTGTGGAAGCCAACCCATTTGTGAAGATTTGGGGTGGAAAAGTAGTCAGTAAAATAGTTATATTGACTTTCTTCCTATTGGAATTGACACTATAAAATTCCTTACAATAATTTTATAGAGACTTATAAAGTTGGAGAAGATTTTGAAAAATCTGTGGACTATAAGCATACAGTACTGTAAGTGTATCGAAATCATCAAAAACTTCACTGTAAACATGGCAACAATATAATCTTCCAGTTCCCCCATGCTTCAGTTTACAAGACAAATAAGCTAAAGTGTTAATGCTTGTCAGCTAACCTCTCGTACACTTATCAAAGTCAATACTGTATAGACTTTCCCACTTTGAAAAACTACAGACTTGTATGCATAAGTTTGTACTGCTGTGCACATTAGTTCAGTTAGTTCATGAGTTTTCACCCTAATTTTATCAGTTCCATAACCTCCTATCCTTTTCAGACCCATCCCTGCTAGACTATCAAGATAGCAATGACTTTAATAAAAAAAAAAAATTACATTTTTAATGGATACTCTGCCAAAAGGAAAATGGGATGTCCAAAAGATGCTCTGCTCCAAGTTCTATATAAATTTGGTAAAATCCCAGCTTCCAGATCTCACTACCTTTCAAGAATCTCTGGGGGCTAAAGTATCACATATACTCTCATAGACTGGATTAAATCCTACACTTTCTGGGTTCAACAGGCTGATTTTTATAACTGCTAGTATGTTTGTAAAATTCCGAAGCACATTTCTCTAATTTTATTTTCGATAGGTTGATAATTTTCTTAAACTACTGACAAATTTATAAATACAAAGAATGAAAGGATTTGAACAAATTTGGCTGTCGTGTAGCACAGTTAAAAAGCAGCGTCAGTTGGACATTTTGTTGGAACTGCTATACGGTACTTTTGGTTTTAGCCTTTTTGTCTTTTCTAGAAGATCAATCCACCTCTTATTAATCAGTCAGTCTCAATACTTTCTATAATTTATTGACTTAAACTAGTGTAAAGTAATGAAGATCTTGCTTATGTACTTCATCTGTTAGAGTTTATTTGGGTTTTCTCATGCTATGTAATCTAGCTTGTAGTCTAGAGCATGCTAAACCTGGTTCATTGTCTGAATTATCGGTATCAGTATTTGAACATTACTGAGAGTGCAACAAAACTTTTCTTCATAGATAATTCTGTGTATCAAGCACGTGTACTGATAAACCTTAAAATTATGGCTTCCGTGTTAAGTATCAGAAGCACCCTTTGAAACTTTCTGATGGAAATGAAACAAATACCTCAGTGAAGTTTGTGGATCAGTAAACATTGTTCAGTAAATGTTTTCTTCAGTACTAACAGTAAAGTGTTAATGCTTGTCTTATCTCACCACAAAAACTTAAAAAACCACAATTGTTTGTTACTTAGTATTGTAGTGACAAATCCATATGCCCTACTTAGGCCCTGTCTACACTGGCAAGTTTCTGCGCAGTAAAGCAGCTTCTTCTTCGAGTGATTGCTCATGTGCATTCCACAATAGGTGTGTGTGCTCGCCACGTGCACCGGTGCCGGAAGTTTTTCCCTTAGCAGTATCCGTAGGGGAGCGCTCCTAGCAACCCCTGGAGTGGCGCCTCTATGGCGCAGAATAAGGGGTGCTGCGTGCTCCCCCCACCCTCAATTCCTTCTTGCCGCCAGTGAAGGTGCATTGGAACTGCTCTGCTCCAGCTTGGCTGTAGCTTTCCTCTTGAACTCTTGTTCATTCATAGTAGTACCTGTAGTTAAAGTAGTTTAGATTAGTGTTAGTTCAGTTTAGTGTGCCCGGGTAGGGGCATACCCCGGGCTTTAAGTCGTGCAACACTTGCAGGCGGCCGATGCCAGTGAGTGATCTGCACACGGACTTTTTACACTGTCTGGGGGAAACCCATCTCAGTGATCGCTGCAGGATTTGAAGATCCTTCAAGCCTCAGACCAAGAAGGAAAGGGACATTCGGCTTCGAGCCATTCTGATGGAGTCAGCGTTGATCCCTAGTTGGGAGTGGACCCCATCTAGACCGGGACAGATGGCACCAGAGGTCCTTATCTCCAAGAGGCTACCATAGCCCATTATGGGCATCGATGCCATTTCCGTTCTTCATCTTGTTCCAAGACCCCACCGTGGCACCACTCCCATAGTCCCAGGCTTCGATCGCCAGCACCTCACCGTCGCGGATCCGCCCGTCAGAGCTGATCGCGGAACAGCTGCTACCAGCGGTATTCCCGCTCCTCCATGCCGGGATCATGGTCTCGTGGTCAACACCGTTCCCGATGACGCCGCCCCTCCCGGTCCCAGGATAGCGGCAGGTCATACGCCAGCCCGGCCTCCTTTTGTAGTCATCAGTCAATGGGACAGGCTAGGCAGGCTGAACAGCCTGCTCCGCCAGTGTCACAGCTCTTTGGCCGGCACCGTGGTACCAATGGGCCCTGTAGCCTC